GGATCTCCCAATTGTCGGTTGTCTAACAAAAGTGTTGAAATGTTCCTTTTTGGGCATCTTTATCTATGTAATTAACTTACTATTTTAATCATGTTTTTCTCATGACTGAAATCATTCTCTGTTGTTGATCGATTAAAGTAGGTCATCATTATAATATAATTGGTACTATAATGTTCTTCTTTCTCTCCTCTTTCTTAATCTCAATTTGATTTTTCTCAAAATAAAAAGAATAAATCAAAGTTTCGACCTTTTATTAGTATTATATGTAATCTTCATTTATTGATCAATGTAAAATCAAGATATATATTCTCCTCTTTCTTGACCTTCATGCTATTCAGATCAGAAAGAAAATACTTATAAATTATCATCCTTAAACATTACACAAACAATTTTATAATAATTTGATAAATTTAACGATTATTTTATTACTTATAAATTTTTAGTGATTAAACAATATTTAAATACAGTTTAGTGACCTAATATATATTTGACCCATTTATTTTTGAAACCAGGTCAAAGAAAATCGCCAAAAAGTTCATCCAAATACGTCTCCATAGAAAGTGCGAAGGTTTTAATATATAGTTACAGATTTTGTAATTATTTTTTGGGTAAAGTATAGTAATGGTCACTGAACTTTTATAAAACTTTTATTTAGGTCCCCTAACTTTTAAAACTTACAATACAATACTCTAACATTTATTCTGTTTGCAATATTGTCCACAACGTTACACTGCCGTTAGTACGTTTTCAATATGGTCACTAAACTTTTCATGCGCTTGTATTTAGGTCCCCAAACTTTTAAAACTTGCAACACAATCCTCAATTTCATTCTAAACACTAAAATATTTTTCTATCTCGAATTTCCTTTTTCGTTTCTCTCTTCTCATTTCCAGCGTAACTTTTCAGTCGGGGATGTATGGGAAATTCTAATATAACTTTGAATTATGTGGAGGAGTTGACTTGAATAAGGGTTCATTGAGAGAAGAGCCGACCAAGGGACTATCGGGACCATCAACGATTCAATGTGTAATGTTAGATACATGTCATCTCAGGTGAATCATAGATGTTCGATGAAATGCTTGTGAGAAAAAAATGGGGTTAGAAATGCAGTGTTTACAAATACTACTAAGATGAACTAAGTATCATTGTTAAAAGTCACCAACAAAGATGAAATTATTTTGTATAAATGATATATAATAATTTATTCGTTTAATCCTTGTGGTTAAATATTTTCCAACAGATGATCAAATATAATGAAATCCCAAATAATGCATTCACCTCTCAGTCTCTTTCGCTCACATGCACTCTCGTTTGGTTTTTGTTCTTTAATTTTCCGCCATGTAAAATTGTAAACCCAAGCAGTGCTCTGTCTTTCAGCTTTTTATTTAAAAAGAAATAATGGAGGAAGAATTGCTGGAACGCAACATCGATTGCGTTTATTTCTCAGCCTCTCCCCTCACTTGCAAGAAGGTATTTATTTTCTCTTTTGGGTTATCCGGAAGTAAGCTTTTCCTCTTTCGCACTTTCCCATTTTCAGTTCGCATTGTGTATTTTTGTTGTTGAAATTTTTATTTTTCTGGAACTGCATGTTAATGATCTGGATATTCAATGTTAGTTTTGAACCAAAACCATCTAATTTTCTTTCTTTCTTCTTAATCAAAACTTTTAGTACTCTTTATGAAAGATATTCAGTCAATCAGAATAAAAGTGAAAGAGGGTCCTAGGCTAAATTTTTTTGTTCTTCTTGTTTGGTTTTTCTTTAAATCAGGGAATTGGTTGTGAGTATCGACATAGTGAAATCGCTAGGCTCAATCTGAGAGAGTGCTAGTACTTGTTTACTGGGAATTGTATTGATCCGACATGTGGTTTTCGGCATCCTCTGAGCTCGTATTCTTTTTAATAAGTTCATGTTGATTATGGGACTGATATATCGTGAATGAATTGGATTTTTTTACATGTTTTGGAAAATTTATAGTTGAATTATAGCTTTAGAAGACGATTTTCCATGCACGCAACTCGAAAGGCATCATGACAGGGTATTATATTTGTAGCAGCTACTTGACCCTATCATGATGCCTTTCGAGTTGCGAAAGAGACTGTGAGATGAATGCGCTGTTTGGGATTTCATTATATTTGATCATCTGTTGGAAAATATTTAACCACAAGGATTAAACAAATAAATTATTATATGTCCTTTATACAAAATAATTCCAGTTTTGTTGGTGACTTTCAACAATGATACTTAGTTCATCTTAGTAGTATTTGTCAACTCTGCATTTATAACCCCATTTTTTTCTCACAAGCATTTCATCGAACATTTATGCTTCACCTGAGATGACATGTATCTAACATTACACCTTGAATCGTTGATGGTCCCGATAGTCCCTTGGTCGGGTATTCTCTCAATGGACCCTTATTCAAGTCAACACCTCCACATAATTCAAAGTTATATTAGAACTTCTTATGCATCCCCGACTTAAAAGTTACACTGGAAATGAGAAGAGAGAAGAGAGAAGCGAAAAAGAAAATTTGAGATCGAAAAAGAATTTAGGGTTTAGAATGAAATTGAGAAATGTGTTGCAAGTTTTAAAAGTTGGGGGACCTAAATGCAAGCGGCTAAAAAGTTCAGTGACCATATTGCAAACGTACTAACGACAGTGCAACGTCGAGGACCATATTGCAAACGGAATAAATATTGTAGGACTGTATTACAAGTTTTAAAAGTTGAGGGACCTAAATGAAAGTTTTATAAAAATTCAGGACAATTACTATACTTTACCCTTATTTTTTAAAATAAAATCAGTAAAAAATAACTAAAACAATATTATTTATCTGTAAAACATTAATGTTTTTTAATAGTTCTGATAAAGTACCCTATAATAATAAGATTAATAAAAAAATAATATTTTAAGTGAAATTTTATTAGATATGTTAATAAAATAGATAAAACGATTAATAATAATAATATCGATAAAAATAATAATATTTTTTATAATTTTTATCGATTTTATTAAAAAAATAATAATAAAACGGATAGCGTTTTTCTTTAATGTATAACTTCTCAGCCACGGGCAGTGTTGATCTAATTAGGGAAACCCTTAAACGCCTCCCACACACCGGAAACAAGAACAACAATTTTGGATTAATCGGCTATTTCGAAGCTCCAGATCGTCGTTTTGAAGCCCCGATTATTGGATTTTTCGTTATTTATTTGATTTATAGACCGAAATTCCAGGGAGTTGTTTTTTTTTCACGGCTGAATTTGTTTTTGTTGTGTTGGCGATGATGGATTCTTTTATTTGAAAATCTGGGTAAGAATTGGCTGGGGCGATTGTTAATGTTTTATTTGATTTTATTTTGAATTTCTACCCTTTGTGGTTGATTCTCCCCCTTCTTCCAAAATCGGACTTGGCGTTGTTTAGACGTCAAAGAATCTTATTCAGAGGATGAGCAGATTTGGCATTTTTGTTTTTTCATTGATGAAAGTTGTTGAAGAGATGGGGTCTTCGTTTTCGAATTCTCCTATATCGACCTTCGGCATCGAATGTATTAAAATTTCTTCTGGGATGATTCGTCAGTGAGGAGATCGTCATCATTGCTGCAGGAGCTTTTTTGGAAGGGATTTTTATCGCTAATTTTTGGATGTTTGTCTACTTTAGTGCAATATATCGAAGTCAATCTAGCTGCTTCTTTAACCAAGACTTGAAACACTATTATGGGAGCTATAGTGATGCATCGATAGGCTGATTAGATAGAAATTCTAAGGTGTTTACTTTTTGTTAGATGGATTTATGGTTCATTTAGATGCGTCGAAAGGCTGATGTGCTTATCTTCTGATGATAAATTTGGTGTTTTTAATGTTTATATGATTTGGATCTATGGATCTTGGAGTTTCTTTTTTCTGATTTAAGGAGCCTCATGTTCTTGTTTTTGAAATTCAAAACACCTTAGATGCAGAAAAGAGGCGTACGGCAATTGAGGGAAAGAATAATATTTGTCCTTCAAAGGAGACCTGGATATCTTTACTGATGTTTTTGTCTTTTGGTCAGACTGCCTGTCTGACAGGGACACAATATTTTATGTTGAGGGGGAATTTATAAATTTTAGGTGAGACAAATTATTAATAGAAAATACTTGTCCTGCCAGCCCCCTTCAGTCCATCCTGCTGTCGGATAGTTTGACACGTAGTAGCTAGGTTGCCATGTCAAAATTTTTGGGCATGGATAGAAACAACCGTACTTATTGCGGAAGTTAATATGCAGAAATAATGCGTAGAAAAGAACACAGTTTGTCAAAAGTCAAAAGTGTATGCTTTGATGATGATTGATGAAACGTTTACTGTATATATTCTGTTGTATGCAAAGAACTCCGATTCCAAGAATTTTGAACAAAATTTGTCCAATGTTAACATTCTCAATTGAAAGGAATTTTCCTGTACATCAAACGTGTCACCATGATCTGCCTCAAGGTAAGTGGCATTTGGAGGCATAGGGTTATAGTCTCTTTGTCGGCTATGGGGCTGAATATATTACGACAAAAATCTCTTTTATAAGTGGATTGGATGGATGCTTAAGCTTCTTTCATTTGAACTTTTGTTCTCTTTTTTTGTGCACATATGCTGATTGTGCTCGTCGATGCTATTTTGCAGGAAGGATAGACACTTCTCTCGTTGATTTTCTTTTACCTTATATTAATCTGTGTATTTTTAGATATCTGACAAGATTGGAGGAACCAAATTAAATGTAAGTTTCTCGACCTTGTAGTTTGTTTGACACTATAAAGGACTTAAAAACTAAAATTTTCGTAAAAGAAAGTTTTCATTAGTTGAATTTTTTTTAAATCTCATACAACTAGTGGAATTTTTCTGATACAAGATTTCTATACTCCAGTTTGTGTATTTCCTTTCAGCTTAATATAGATGCATATTTCATTGGATCTTTGCTTTAATTGTTTCCAGAGCCATATTAATGCTTGCACCAGAAGTTTCTCTTCTACAACAGGTCTGGAACACAGAAGTTTTGTAAATTCCTACTTCTCTTGGAAGACAGTTCCAAAGAGGAATAGGAGTGGGATGAGGCGTAACAGGAAACCAGTTGCTAAAAGCTTGATAATGGGATTGGGGCTAGCCAATAAAAATTCCAGACAACTGGAGAATGTTACTGATTCAGAGTCGGAGAAGCTTAAGATTAGATTTCGTTTGAATATTTCAGGTCTGACAGTTCTAATGGTTCATATCCCCGAACTGGAAGAGGCTCTGGTTCTGATAAATTCATGTGGAGTGATAGATCTTCACATATGCATGGCAGAAGCCCAGAAAGTGCTCAATTTTCCAATCCCTCAGCTAATTATTGGGATTCTTCTAAGCGGGAGCATCAACATATTTATCACGGCCAAGCACTCTCAGATGCTGCTGATGTTGCAAGACCTGACCACCTCATTACCAGGCAATTTATGGACTCTTACAGACCAACCCTTCGAAGGAGATCACCAGTTGAAGGAGATGAGTTTTACAATATGCATCCAAGGAGGCTAACTTTGAAGGATACTGTAAGAGATAATAGTACTGGTCGGAATAGGTTTAGAAGATATCCACAAGGGGTTAGTAGAGGCATCAGAGATGAATATTTCAGGCATGTTCCTGATGACAGCACACAGTACATGAGCCGCATTCCACATCGTTTGGACAGGATAGAAAGAAGCATTTCCCCCCATGGTGGAAGACATCATCATGCCGTACCTTACAAGAGAGCTCGATCAAGATCAAGGAGCCGCTCACCCATTGATTGGTTGTTGCAGAGGGATCAAAATGAGGATTCAAGACGTTGCAACAGGTCACCAGATTTTAGGTCTAATGCTAGAATAGATGGGGTTACGTTTCCATTTACAAAGCGATTTGCTGCTGGTTATGGAGAGTTCATATCCCCACCTCCGGGTCGTGCATCACCACAGCGAAACTCCAGGATGTTTGAGGATTGTAATCCTGGTTTAGACCATTTTAGGAGACGAAAATCGCACGTGAGGATGCAGGACCAGAAGTTTGATCAAGCACGCCCCATTCTGAGATTGAATTCAGATGATTACTTCAACCCCATGATTCGACCTAGAAGATTTCCTGAAAGACCTGCTGGTGGAAAAGGGTGTAAATATGAAGTCAGTGATGATGGTAAACATGGCAGCAGATATGCAATGATTCATCGAGTGAGGTGTTATGATACAGATGGTGGAGCCCGTCGGTTTCGCTATAATGAAGAAGATTCATACATGGCTAAGAACACTTAAACAGTGACTAATGCCACTCGGATCTCATATCAGCACCCTGATGATGCTGATGCACCTAGGACAGCCAATGAAGATATGTGAACATTTTTTTTAATGCAATTGTGAGAGGATTTGGCTGGAAAAGGGTGATATGAAATCTTGAAGAGGTAATCTCTCTCTCTCTCTCTATATATAAATAGCTAATCATATGGTTGTATTTGTCTGGCAGGTGGGGGATTTTGTCTTAATTTTTAGTTTTAGCTTCCCTTAGACAAGATTTTTTTCCGCCTCTATACTCTCTTTCCACATAGCTAAATTTATGCTTCTTTTTCTAGATTTATTATATGCTTAAAGCGGAAGGAATTCATGTTGATGGAGAGTATTTTGCAAAAGATTAATGCACATATTTATTTTCCTTGGCATAGTTACCTGTTGATTGAGCAATGTTATAAAGGTTGGTGTTGGACGATGTGATCAAGTTGGAAGTGTTGGCCGAGTTTCACGATATGGTCGAGTTGGATGTGGCTCGTCTTTTCGACAATGCCGTCAATCACATTGCGATTGTGGACATAACGGATGCTATTTTCATGGTCAATCACAGTAAGTGAATCATCGACTTTGCTTTACTCGAAGATTAATCTAGAAGATATACATGAAATGAGATGGTAGACAAGACTAGAATAATTTCATTGTAGAAAAATGTCTAAGGCAATGATTCACATATTAATATTTTTTTTGAAATTATATTAATCTTATTTTAGAAAATCAGTGTTAACTCTTTTTTTTCTTTCAATTTCAAGTAATAATATAAAACTTACCTAATTGTAATGATAACAAAACTAATGGTATCAACTAGGATAAAATTACAAATTCAAGGAAGGAAAATGCAAACAAATAACTACCCGCCAATATTTTTTATATTATAAAGCAACTACAGCACAAACATATCAAATCGCCTAAATAAATAATTATTGAAAATAGTTAGGATCATTATTAGGTGTAATTGATTTTTTATATGCACAGATAAAAAATATGAACATTATATAAATAAAATGTAGTATTGTAATTGTATGGTTAGTATCTTTATATGTATATATTATGGATTTGATAAATATACTCTACTTTGTTTAGTCTTTGAATTTTTTGAAATTAAAATTTCATTTTTGGTTAAGATAATACAAAGATAATAATTAATGACATTATTGTTTGCAGTATCATGTGATCTGGTAACAATCCATTAATTCATTATGCAAAGAAAAACAAAACATTAATACAAATTACACTGACAAATTCTTGGTGGAAAAGTACAAATATTCCGTATTTATTATCTTTCCTCAAAACAGGGTGTTTTTTGGATAAATGAGGAGACCTGCTAATACCATATAGAATGAGAACAAAAGCGACAAGCCAACACCATGTCTGACCTAAGCCTCTCACGTTCATCAATACAGCAACTTAGATACCTGCAACTTGCAAGCATAGAAATCATTCTTACTCCTTCGTATATCTAAACACAACATTTATCTCGAAAGTAGTGGAAATCTGACTCTAATGATGAAATGACGGAGTGTTTGTTCAGATAAGAAAACATTACCTGCTGATTGAGCAGCTTTTGAAGTTTGAATCCTACGATGTAATCGAGTTGGACGAAGAAACTTGTCTCTAATAGAACAAAGCTCGGTAACAGCAACACCCATGTCCATCCGCTCACTCGGTGATTCAGCAGAACAAGTAAGTCCTATTTCCATTATCAAATTCAAGCAATGAAGATGTTTGTCATTTCCCAAGCCGTTTTCATTGAGAGTGATGTCTGCGGTTGTTCCTCTTTGTACACTCTCTTGAAGAAGAATGGGATCTACAATCTCAATCACTTGTTTGGACAATGTTGCCTTAACAAAGTTGTGAAGATTTAAACCTTCCTTAAACCTTTCATCAGTCGGTCTTTTCCCAGTAAACATCTCTAGCAGGAGGATGCCGTAGCTATAGACGTCGCCTTTTGTTGACAACTCGCTTCCCATGCCATATTCTACAATTAAATCATAAAAAATTATAGATATAAATAATTGCAGAGGAAATATAGGGAAACCTACTTTTAGATTATTGGTTTGTTTTTAAATAATGGAATAAATTAAAAAAGTGAACATACCTGGTGGAGCATAACCAATAGTTCCTCTTAATCCAAGGGAACTTGACAAATTATTAGAATAGTTGAGCATATCTGCAGAAATAAGTTTTACCAAGCCAAAGTCACCTACATGGCCAACCATTTCCTTATCGAGCAGAATATTGCTTGGCTTGAGGTCACAATGAATGATCGATGTTTCACAACGATGGTGCATATATTCAAGTGCATGGGCAATATCTATGGCCACACTTACTCTTTGGAAGAAGTTTAGGTGTCTAGCTGTCCCCGGTCCATTCGTGGGGACTGATGGATGCAGCCAGTCCTCCAGGTTTCCATTTTCCATGAACTCGTAAACCAAGGCTTTAAAATCATTGCCTTGATAATCGACACCTGAAATGGCTGTTAGAACCTTGACAAGATTCCGATGTCGAATGTTCTTTAACGCTTCACATTCAGCCACGAAACTTCTAGAAGCTCCACGATTCAGAAGATCAAGCACCTTTACTGCAATAACTGCTCCACTCTCTTCAAGAATTCCTTTATATACAGAACCAAAGCTTCCAGAACCAAGTAAATTTTGCATAGAGAATCCATCCGTAGCCCTTAGGATCCTTTGGTATGACAACTGTAAAAGGGAATTTTCTACCCAAGTTGTTGTTGGCTGCTCTTTCTTCTTTCTAAACCTCAAGATGAGGAGACAAGTAAGAACCAAAGTCACTGTCAAAATCACAATAGCAATTGCAATTTTTACTCTAAGAGAAGTGTTTGATGATCTCTTTGAACTGCATCTAGATAGGTGTAATTCAGGAATGCCTCCGCAAAGCTTACGATTCCCCTCAACAAATGTAGCACTTGCATTTTTAAAGACTCCTTCACTTGGTATCACTCCCTCAAAATCATTGAATGAGAGATTCAAATACTTTAATGCCTTAAAGATCAAAAGAAATTCTGGAACACCACCTGAAAGATTATTGTCAGATACGTCCAATACCTCAAGTCCTCTCAATGAACTCAAAGATGATGGAATAGGCCCTTCAAACAAATTGTCGTTTAATAACAGCTTCACCAGACTTACACAATTACCAAGGTTGTTTGGAAGCAAACCAGATAACCTATTTTGAGAAACATCCAATACACCTAGACTTTTTAGTTTTCCTATTTCAAAAGGAAGCTCACCGGTTAAATAGTTTGATGATAGGTCTAAGCCAATGGACAGGGATGGGAGTCCAAGTACTTCTGGTGTTATTGGTCCACTAAGATTGTTATGGGAAAGATTCATTCTAAGCAAATTTTGGCACTTACCAAGACTTGAAGGAATGCTGCCCTGAAGATTGTTAAAATCAAAAGCAAGTTCGGTTAACACTGTTAAATTTCCAATAGAATATGGAATAGTTCCGGAGAGAAAATTACTATCAGTCAAAAATATTTTTAGCTTCTGAAGCCTCCCAATATCAAAGGGGATGGGACCTGATAGATGATTTTGTGATGCCATTAGCACCTCCAAATTGATGAGATTTATGATACCATCATGGATTCTTCCTGATATTTTGTTCTCGTGTATTTCTAATTGCAAAAGGTTGTTAGAAAAATTGCTAATGCATTCGGGCAATACCCCTCCAAAATTATTTATGTATATATTTATAATTTCTAGTTTGGTATTATTGCATAAAGTGCAAAGAAAGTGCAAGTCACCCTCTTCCCCATGTCCCAAGTGGTTTTCGTGTACTATAAATCTAAACAACTTGTCCAGCTTTCCTAATGAAGGCACACTTCCACTAAGTCTATTCTCAGGCAATTGAAGTACCTGTATATTTGAGGCATTGGATATCGAAACCGGGATTTGTCCAGAGATTTGATTTCCCGCTACGGAAAAGAACTCAATATATGGCATATTGATTGCTAAGTCTGAAGGAAGAGTACCTCGAATCTTGTTTCCACCAATATCAAAGTCTCGAATATTTGAGAGATTGAACATTGTGACAGGAACAATACCAGATATTGCATTTCCCGCTACGGAGAAACCTAAAAGATTTGTCAACTGCCCCAATGATTCTGGTATAATCCCAGTTAATCCATTCATCAACAAAGCAAGTACCTCTAGGGATGACAAGTTCCCCAACGAAGGTGGGATACTCCCTCTCAAACTGTTGTTCACCAAAATCAAGGATTTCAGGTTTGACAATAATCCAAGCAAAGCAGGTATTTCTCCTGTCAGCTGGTTGCTTCTCATATCGACTAATGTAAGCTTAGAACAAGCAGATAGATTGGAAGGAATTTCACCACTGATGGAGTTATTGGTCAGGTCTAATTTTTCCAGTCTTCTTAAACGGCCAATCTCTTGAGGGATCTCATTGTAGAAGCTATTGCCCGCAAGACTCAACTCCCTAAGAAAGCTCAAATTTCCAATGAACGGTGATAAAGATCCGGAGAGTTTGAGGGATTGCAGTTCCAGCTTGGTGACTCTCTGATGCTTGCGACCGCATGTAACACCACGCCACTGACAGAAGTGAAAGGAACTGTTCCACGACTCCAAAATTCTGAGTTGATCACCGGTTATCTTTGCTTTGAACTGGAGTAAAGCTTGTTGATCAGTGCCATTTCCTCTAACTACAGGGCTTGCGGTTGCTAAATCAAGCAAGTTAAGACCCTGCAAGCTGAAGCATGAGAGGAAGGTGATAACTTTAATGTAAACAAGGAAAAGAGAGGTGGATGCTACCATATGATTTTTTGATAGCTCCATCAACTTGAATCAATTTCTTAATTTTTGAGATTGATTTATATTTTAGAATACTTTGTTCATCAACAAGATCCAGCGTGCAATTATGTAGTTTTTGAACTCTGATATTATCTAATTCAATCTCTTCAATTGATTCAACTTTTCTGACTCTGAAAGTCATGTGGATACTATATCCATGGGCCAGCTTTAGTTAAATGAGTATACTTGAAGGGTTTTTGATGGTTGATATTTCAGAAAACATTAATTTATTGTTGTCGCGTCTGTCTTTCAGATTGGGCTCGGAATTAGGCTTCGACTTTAATAAATGAATTAGAGTCGCCACCGATCATTTAAAATATATGTAAGTTGAACGAACACCATCTTACCTGATCTGCGTTTTACCAGAAATATGTAGGATTCGAGAGTCGGTTACAGTCAAGAAATGATTAACACCCTTGTATTGCCATTTCGGTACTAATTTAATTTTCAGTTGTCTTAATTAAGAAAATTGCAAGTTAAATAAAAAGATAAAAATTCGATCCAAATTACTTACCTTTAATCGATTTAAAATATCCCTAAAAAGGTCATTAAGAGGTTAAATTATAAAAATAAAATACGGAGTGATTCAAAAGGAATAAATAGCAAAAATTATATTCCAATACCTTAAATAAAGAAATGAAAAGAAATACATAAGTACTTACATACTGAAAAAAATGGACATAAATTTAACAAAATGAAAGATCAAAAAAATTAAATAGAACAATTAAAAACCAAAAAAAGAAGAAGAAATGATCGTATATATTAAAACACAAAATGATGAGGAAGATAAAGAAAAAAATTAATTAAATTACAATAAGAATAAAATTTCAATTGCAAGATTAATTACAAACACAAATGAAAATTAATTAAATTAAAGCAAAGAAAGTAAAAAGAATAAAAAGAATAAAAATTAAATTAAATAAAAGAAGTAAATAAAACTGTTGGATCAAAGACTCACAAAATATAATACCCTTAAAAATAATTAAATGAAAACATGAATTAAATAAAAGAATGACCAAATTAAAGAATTAATAAAATGAGTGATAAATTTAAGAGGCAAAATCGTGATTAAAATCAAATTTAAAATACGAAATTAACTTTTAAAACAATTTAGGAACCAATGTTGCAATTTGACTCTACCCGCTTGAAAACATGCGAATCCTTAGGGATCCGGTCGAATTTTCGAGTTAGCTATAAAAGCCCAAATTCATAATCAAATTTCATTTTTTCTTTCTCCCTTCAAACCGATCAAAACACTCCCCCCAAAATTCTTTGTACTGTTCTTCATGCTCGAAGAACAATCCAGCCGGGGTTCATAGAGAACCCAGAATCCGGCCGTGCTCCGTCTCGTCGGACGCCGTTCATCGGCGATGAACCAAAATATTTTTACACCGTTCGAAAGCTTATCATCTACTCTTTTCAAAAATCCGATTTATTTTCACAAAAGAGCCTCGAGGAAGACTATATCTGAAGAAGCAATCCTTCGAGAGAGAGAAAATCCACTTAAATCATTGGCTTTTCGAATAAAAAATAAAACAAAAACAAACTCCAAATACAACCACATGCAAACTAGTCGAGAAGGGTAAAAAAATACCTTGTTTATTTATGTTTTTTTCCCGAATGTTACAAGTGCTCTCTTGCCTCCATCTTACTTGTTTTTTATTTTACATTTACATGAATTTATAGCTTAGTGAACCCATTGTTTTTGGGTTGATTTAGAGTTTTATTCTGACTGAAACGTTGATTTGTTTTGTTGTTTTTTGCCGAATGATTTATGTTGTTGTTGTTGCTTGGAACGAGGACTCTCCAAGAGTCCTCGGGCTGACTGGTGTTTTCCCCTGAACGTACGGAGGTGAAACTCTATCATTTGGCCCATGTGGATCGTTGGATTGGTTTAGATCCAACGGATCTAGTGTTGCGGCGCGGATGCCAAAAGATGAAACCCTAACGCGTGTTGGGCTCTTGGTCGGGTCGGGTAGCTTACTGGGTCCTCGGGTTAGTTTGCTGGGTCAGGCTTGCCACCCGGTTGGGCTCCCTGTTGGGCCTCTTAGACTGTTGGACTTGGACCCTGTATTTTGGACGAAAGAAAGAAAAATGAAAATGAATAAAATATAATGACTATACTATATATAATAAATATATTTAAAAAAACTATATAGTATATATATTTTTAAAAACTTCAAAAAATATATATTATATATATTTTTTCAAAATGTTTTCAAAAATTATATATTATATATATTTTCAAAATATTTTTTAAAACTATATATTATATATGTTTTTAAAATGTTTTCAAAAACTATATATTATATATATTTTCAAAATAATTTTTAAAAACTATATATTATATATATGTTTTCAAAATATTTTTAAAACTATATATTATATATGTTATAGAAAAATATTTTTCAAAACTATATATATTGTATACAACAACAACAAAACCTTATTCTCATATGCAATGGGGTAAAGGGGAGGTAGGGTAGTAGGCTGCCCCCAACACCAGGTTGAGAGCAACTTCCATGGAAGACCTCCGACAGTAAAAAAATTAAAAATAAAGATAAAATGCAATGAATGTATTAAAATAATAATAATAATAATAATAATAATAATAATAATAAATACATAGTTAAACTTTCTTCATATGCGCGTCTGTAATGGGAAGTAAATCCCTGCAAATAAATCTATGCGTAATAATCTTTGCATATAGACAGAAAACGTAAGACCTGACTAAATTTAAAAAGAGGAAATATGAAGAGAATGATACACAAAAGTCAACGAATAGCTAGGTACGAGAAGATATAAAGTCAAATGGGTTAAAATCTAAAACTAATGCAACATTACTCCGCTACCCTAGTTCTAGGCCATCATAAATTCCAATGACAGAAATGTATAAAAAGTAGAAGTCATGAAAATTACTACAAAGGCTTTAAAAGAAGACAGAGATGATACACGCTATGGATGTGACCCACATTACTCGACTACTCTTGTCTTAAAAACTATATATATTGTATATATATACTAAATAAAACCTCGGACAAAAATAGTGACTACAATTATCTAAGAAAATGACATAAGCAGACCTCTCAAGTAAACGCTGGGTTATATGGAGGATACTCTCACCAGGGTCACAATTATTGATTCAAGTTTTCCAACTTTGAAAATCAACGCCCTTTATTAGGTTCATGCATCATAGAAAAATAAGCAGATTTCTAAACCATCAGATTTTACTTTGACAAAATGTATTGGAAAGCTTTGAAGACAGATACATCAAAGTCATGTCTATGCATTAAAGCTTTGGAAAAATTTGAACGCCAAAACAAAGCAACCCTCTGTGGAAATTTTTTTGGAAAAATATAAGTTTTGATTTCCGAAGTCAATACCCTTGAAGGAATGCCACTTTTCGAGCAATGAATAAATCAGAAACACCCATCCCCTTCTAAGCAACAGACAATCAATCCACTCATCAGTTTACTTTATTTAAGAATGTTGTGTCCCACATTGCCATCTACCAAAAAGGAAATGAACATTGTAATAAGTTTTGCCGAGCAATGTCATATGGCTTTCCTTCACCTGAAAATGCCATGAAGAATACAAAAAACCAAGCACTTTGTACAGAGTGCAACTTTGTAAAGAGGACATCAATTTTCGAGTCGAATTCAAATGGACCAAAAATCCGATCTAACTCAACCCGTTGCTATCCCCAATTATGTGATCGATCAAAACCCAACTTGAATGTAGAGTTTATGAAGCGGAGAGTTACTCAATTAAGTCTATGTTTATTGTCACAATTCTTATTTAAAATTTAGTGTTTGAATATAAAGTTTAGGGTTTTAGATTTTTCAGAAGGATCCTACTTTTGTTAGATGAGTCTACACGGGGTTAATTTTTATGGTCAACATCATCCTCATATTTTTGAAGGTCACAATTCTATGAATAGTCATCATTATACTTACTTTATTTTCAATCCTTGATCATGGATTTTGACCATAATTGAATTGATAAGTAGTAATGATTGTGAAAGTTTGCAACTTGGAAAATGGGTTGGTGGTGCAAGTTGAAGAATTGGTCGATGGTTGTGGAAGTCTTAAATTGGACATTAAACTAATTGAAAATTAATTATTGACGCTAGAAGAAGGGCTTGAGCCTTCGACCTTGAGGTTAATACACACACGCTCTAACCAACTGAGCTATTCCAGCCCTGATTTTAAATTTGGAAATGAGTTACTGGTTAAAAGTGTAGGCCAACTTCAACGTAATCTGTCATCCTTGTGTGTGAATTGCACAAAAGAATACATTTAAAGAAATGGAAGAATAAGATTTAAAAGAGTGTGCAAGCAATCAAGAGTTATTTCCTCCCATTCTAATCAATTGGAAGAGTCAAATGGTGCTGTCTATAGTTAGAGTTGTCAGCAGCAATTTATAACATGTGTAATGGTATGGTGATTCATTTCATGTTGAAGACGAATGCTTATGGATTTTTTTTTCCTCTTTAAAGTGGCATTCGTTTTATTTTAGTGGTGAATTGATTTTAAAGAGGCCAATGGTATGGTGGATGCCTTGGCTAAGGCCGAGATTAGTAGGCAAAGCATGTTCATAGCTTGATGGTGATGGTTATATGGATAATGGAATGAGATTAGATTGTCATATGGTATTCAGAACCCTTGGAACTAAACCATCATTCATATGACTTCTCAACAATGAATATTTTCTATATAGAATTTTCCCAACTCTCTACTGTAAAAAGACAAGGTTTCTTTTTATTGTGACTAATCGATTGGTGCACAAAGGGATGTGATTATGATAAAAACAGATTACAGTAAACTATATATACTTTTCCTTAAAGCCGAGTCCTGAAAATACCAGATAGAAAACCATTCATATTATGGCACCTTAGGTACCTGCAACATATGAAAACAAGGAAAGGTCAGATTTACTAGAATTGAATGTAACCAAAATTCATTTTACTTTTAAAATCATTTGAATTAAAGCATTAATCTGAACTCATGTAATGATTGATTATTCTGTTAAGAACGATGTAAGTTGTTTACTTCCACATAAGAAGACGTTATTGTATACCTTCTGATTTAGCAGCATATAAAGCTTGGTGCTCCGATGTAAGCAAATTACACAAAGAAGCTTGTCTCGAATAGAACAAAGCTTGGGAACAACATCACTCATGTCCATCCGCTCACTAGGTGATTCAGCAGAACAAGCGAGTCCTATTTCAAAAATTGAATTCAAGTGCTGAATATGTATGTAATTGAGAGTTATACTTGAAATATTTCCTTGAATAGCTAGATCTTGAAGAAGAATGGGATCTATAATCTCATTCACTCGATTAGGCAAAGCTTGCACAACAAAGTTGTGAATGCTGAAATCTTCTTTGAACATATCATGAGTCGGCCTTTTCCCCGTAAACATCTCCAGCAAGAGAATTCCATAGCTATATACATCACCTTTTGTTGATAACTCGTCTCCTATGCCATATTCTGTAGTTAATTTTATCACAAATTATATAGTATCAAGATTTCTTCTCACATCCATGCTTTGAATCTGCGAAGAATATAAAGAACAATTATAGAAGTGGAAGAAATGAATATAATGAACCGACCTGGTGCAACATAACCAATGGTTCCTCTTAACCCGAGGGAGCTTGATTGATTAGTAGAATAGTTAAGCATTTCTGCAGAAAGGATTTTTGCCAAGCCAAAGTCACTTAGATGACCAACCATTTCTTCATCAAGGAGAATATTGCTTGGCTTGAGGTCACAATGAATGATTGCTGTATCACAATGATGGTGTAGATATTCGAGTGCATGAGCAACATCTATCGCCACAGTTACTCTTTGTAAGAAGTTCAAGTTTCTTGTTGTCTCAAGTTCATTCATTTTGACATATGGATGCAACCAGTCCTCCAAGCTTCCATTTTCCATGAACTCGTACACCAAGGATTTAAAATTATTGCCTTGGTAATCTACACCTGAAACCGCTGTTAATACCTTGACAAGATTCCGATGCCGGATGTTCTTCAAGGCCTCACATTCAGCGAAAAAACTCCTCGAAGTTCCATGGTTAAAAAGGTTAAGCACCTTTACCGCAATCAATGTTCCACTCTCTTCAAGAATTCCTTTGTATACAGAACCGAAACTTCCCGAACCAATCACATTCTGCACAGAGAATCCATTAGTAACCTTTAGGATGCTTTGGTACGATAATTGTAAAAGCGAATTTTCTGCACAAGTTGCTATTGACTGCTGCTCTTTTTTCTTTCTAAACCATAAGATGAGGAGAAAAGAGAATAACGCAATCAGTCCCAAACTCAGAACAACAATTGCAATTTTTAATCTTTTCTTGGATATTTTTGTGTTACATCTAGATAGGTGTAACTCGGGGATACCTCCACAAAGCTTATCGTTTCCTCCAACGAATGTAGCACTTGCATTCTTAAATATTCCTTCACTCGGTATCGCTCCCTCAAAATCATTGAAAGAGACGTTTAAATACCGTAATGCCCCAAAGCTCTCAAGAAATTCTGGAATCCCACCTGAAAGATTATTGTCAGATATGTCCAATGCCTGAAGACCTTTCAATGAACTCAAAGATGGAGGAATGGGCCCTTCAAACAAATTGCCATCCAAGAACATATACACAGTTGCCAATGTTCTTTGGAAGAAAACCAGATAATTTGTTGTTGGAAAGACTCAATGCACCTAGATTTTGCAGCTTTTCTGCTCCAACAGAAAGCTCAACGGTCAAGGAGTTTGATGATAGGTCTAGTTCAATAGACAAGGAAGAGAGCTCAAGTACTTCATAGGGTATTGTCCCACTAAAATTGTTGTAAGAAAGATCTATTCCAATTAAACTTTGGCACTTGCCTAGACTAGAAGGAATGTTGCCCTGAATATTGTTAACATCTAAAACAAGTTTTGTTAACATTGTTAAATTCCCAATAGAGTGTGGAATAGTCCCGGATAGAAAATTCGTATGGGCACTAAATATATTTAGCTTCTGAAGCCTTCCAATATCAAACGGAATGGGACCTGATAGTTGATTTTGGTATGCCACTAGTGCCTCTAAATTGGAGAGGTTTACAATCTCATCCGGGATCCTTCCGAATATTTTGTTCTGTTCTATTCTAAAATGCAGAAGGGTGGTAGAAAAATTGCTAATGCATTTGGGAATTACCCCTCCAAAATTATTTTTGTTTATATATAGAAATTCTAGTTTGGTATTATTGACTAAAGTGCATAGAAAGTTCAAGTCACCTTCTCTCCCATGTCCCAAATGGTTTACGCCTAGTTGAAGGCTTATCAATTTATCCAGCTTTTCTAATGAAGGCACATTTCCGTTGAATCTATTTAACGAAAATTGAAGTACATTAAGGTCTGTGGCATTGGTTATTGAAATCGGGATTTGTCCAGAGACTTGGTTTCCTCCTACAGAAAAGAACTCAAGATATGGCATAGAGATTCCTAGGTTAGAAGGAAGAGTACCTTGGATCTTGTTTCCACCAATATCAAAGACTAATATTTGAGAGATTGAATTTGTTGCAACTGCAAAAAATGAAAGATTTGTCAATTGTCCAAGAGCTTCAGGTATAATCCCAGTTAATGCATTCCTCGTCAAGGCAAGCACCTCCAGGGATGACAAGTTTCCCAATGAAGGTGGGATACTCCATTTCAAACTGTTGTTGTGAAAACTCAAGTACTTCAGGTTTGACAAGAGACCCAGAGAAGCAGGTATTTCTCCTGTTAGCTGGTTGCCTCTCATACCAATGATTGTAAGCTCAGAACAAGCAGATAAATTGGATGGAATTTCACCTCTGATGGAGTTATTGGTCAGGTCCAATATTTCTAGTTTTATTAAATGACCAATTTCTTGTGGAATCTGGTTGTAGAAGTTGTTGCCTCCAAGATTCAACTCCCTGAGAAAGCTCAAATTTCCAATGTATGGTGATAAAGATCCTGACAGTTTGAGAAATTGTAGTTCCAACTTAGTGACTCTCCGATGCTTGTGACCGCATGTAACACCGTGCCACTGGCAGAAATGAATGGAACTATTCCAGGTTTCCATAACATTGAGCTGATCACCTGTTATCTTGGCTTTGAACTGGAGTAATGCTTGTTGATCAGTATCATTTCCTCTAATTGCAGGGGTTGCTGTTGTTAAACCAAGCAAGTTGAAGCATAAGAGATATACAAGTTCGCAGCTCCAACTTGACTTTAGTCCAAACTACTACTTCAAATTTGGGGCAGTGTTTGCCTCTGCAACTAGAACAGAGAGGATGTAATAAAGGGATATACAAGTTCTTTATTCATCAAGAGCTTTGCAAATGAAAGCTAAATAAATAGAAAAGCAAAACATAAGTACAAACCCTTAAATAACAACATGAAAGTTATGGTCTTTCACAACACAACATATATATGCATCCAAGGAGGCCAACTGCGAAGGATACTGTAAGAGATACTAGTACTGATCGGAATAGGTTTAGAAGATATCCGCAAGGGGTTAGTAGAGGCATCAGAGATGAATATTTCAGGCATGTTCCTGATGACAGCACACAATACATGAGCCGCTTTCCACATCGTTTAGACAGGAGAGAAAGAAGCATTTCCCCCCATGGTGGAAGACCTCATCATGCCGTACCTTACAAGAGAGCTCGATCAAGATCAAGGAGGCGCTCACCCATTGATTGGTTATTGCAGAGGGATCGAAATGAGGATTCAAGACGTTGCAACAGGTCACCAGATTTTAGGTCTGATGGTAGAATAGATGGGGTTAGGTTGCGATTTGCTGCTGGTTATGGAGAGTTCATATCCCCACCTCGAGGTCGTGCTTCACCACAGCGAAACTCCAGGATGTTTAAGGATCGTAATCCTGGTTTAGCCCATTTTAGGGGACGGAAATCGCATGTGAGCATGCAGGACCAAAGGTTTGATCAAGCGCTCCCCATTCTGAGATTGAATTCAGATGATTACTTCAACCCCATGATTCGACCTGGAAGATTTCCTGATAGGGCTACTGGTGGAAAAGGGTGTAAATATGAAGTCAATGATGATGGTTAACATGGCAGTAGATATGCAATGATTCATCGAGTGAGGAGTTATGATACAGATGGTGGAGCCCGTCGGTTTCGCTATAATGAAGAAGATTCATACATGGCTAAGAACACTTTACCCGTGACTAATGCCACTCGGATCTCATATCGGCACCCTGATGACGCTGATGCACCTAGGACAGCCAGTGAAGACATGAATATTTTTTTAATGCAATCGTGAGATGATTTGGCTGGAAAAGGGTGATACGAAATCTTGAAGAGGTAATCTCTCTCTATATATACCTAATCACATGCTTGTATTTGGCTGGCGGGTGGGGGATTTGTCTTATTCTTTAGTTTTAGCTTCCCTTAGCCAAGATTTTTTTTTGCCTCTTTTTCCAGTTTGATTATATGCTCAAAGGAAAGGAATTCATGTTGATGGAGAGTCTTTTTGCAAAAGATTGGACCATGAAATCGAGTTGGACAAGTTTCATGATGTGATCGAGTTGGATGAGGCTCATCTATTCGACATAATCATCAATCACATTGCGACTGTTGGACATAACGGATGTTATTTTCATGGTCAACCACAATAAGTGAGTCATCGACTATGCTTTGCTTGATGATCAAGCTAGAAGATATGCATGAAATGAGATGGTAGACAAGACTAGAATAGTTTTATTGTAAAAAAAATGTCAAAGGACATTAATATTTTTTAAAATTGTATTAATGTTATATTTTTAGAAAATTTGTGTTAACTCTTTTTTTCTTTTTTTTCAATTTCAAATAACAATACAAAACGATTACCTAATTGTAATGATAACAGAACTAATGAATCAACTAGGATAAAATTTACAAATTCAAGGTATGAAAATGCAAATAAATAACAACCCACCAATATTTTATATATTATAAAGCAACTACAACACAAATATATCAAGTCACCTAAATAAAGAATTATTGAAAATACAAAGGGTCATTATTAGGTGCAATTGATTTTTAATAATGTTGTTTTGCATGAATTTCCTAGTGACAAGCATACGGCACCAAAAAGGTCTGTTCCCTTGCCAGATGATAGGTTACTCTGGATTTAAATGTTTCAATGGATGCTTGGCCTTGTGATGGGAGGGACTGTTGATACTCAAAAGGATTCTTTTGCTAATATTTCTGCGAGAAGTGAAGAATTCCAGACCTCAAGATATTAAAAACGACATTATGAGCAAAATTTTTTTCTTCTGACATCGATGGGAGTAATAAGATGACTTCAAATTTACTTGAAAGATATAATGTATCATCTCACTAAATCAACTTATCATTGGTAGAACCCTAAAATTTCTAATTATGGCTTATAAAACTTTCTGAATGCTTAAATCAATGAGTCGTGAGTTTTAATGGATCCATTCATTCAAAATTTGTCTACACCTAGGGATGGCAATGGGTCGGGTCGGGTTTTTGGGCCACCCGACCTGACCCGAGAAGAAAGGGTCCTCCACCCGTGACCCGACCCGACCCGACCAAATTAAGGTTTCACCGACCCGACCCGACCCGAATATATAACTTAGAAACCCGACCCGAAATAATAATAAAAAAAAATTTATTCAATGAAAACAGTGACTTAATTGAAAAAAATTATATATGGAGGGATATTATTGTAATTATCCCTAAATATATAGGATAAAATCATATATATTTTTCGGGTCGGGTCGGGTCGGATTTTTTCACCCTAAACCCGACCCGAACAACGCATTAAAAAAAAACCCGACCCGATCCGACTCCGAATTTTTAAAAAAAAAATCCGACCCGATCGGGTCGGGTCGGAACCCGTCGGATTCGGGTTGAGTTGCCATCCCTATGACTACACCTAACCTCTTCAGATGATCTTTAAGGCGCACTCCATGGCTTCTATGTTGGATTTGTTTTAGCGAATAAAAGTTATATTTAGTCCAAAGATAAAAATTTCAAACAAATAATTATATATTTATTACATAATTATAAATAAATTTACATTTTAATCACTTAACTTCCATTATTGTGTTTCATTTATGAAGGGTTCAGCTAAGACTGCCGAATATGAAAATATTACGTATGAAGGACCAAACTGTCTTTTAGAATCATTTAGCTTTCCCTTTGGGAATATGATGTTTTGGTTTATGGTCACTTTCAAGACCAAGTTGCAACCCTCTTTTGTGATTCGATGATAGGGTTGCAAAGGTTATCTTCCTCATTGAGGGATCTAAATGTGACATCTAACATGCTAAGCTTTTTTTAATAATATAAGATAATATTTGTTCAGATTTTTCTTAAATAATTGATAACATATATAAACCCTCTCGAACTCAAAACCTCGACGGAAAACAATATTTTTCTTTTATCATATGATAAGTTTGCTCAAACTCAAAACCTTAACAGAAAATAATATTTTCTTTTATCACATGATAAGTTTGACATGCTAAGCTTTGATTTTAATACTTACATTTTTTTCATTACGATAACTAAATTATTATTTTTGTATCGTTATATTCTAAAAATTATCAGTATTAATAAAAATATGTCATATTCTTGTTAATGGGTTATACTGTTAAACGGGAACAAAATGAATAATTTAGTATCAAAGTCGAGAAAAAAATTAAGTATAAAATTAGAAAAAACGAGTATTAATCGTAAATCAAATTAACCCCAAAAACGCACACTGACTAACGAACAATATTATTTTTTAGTGCTAGTTTGGCAGCATTACCTTTTAGAAGTATAATGAAAAATATTTTTCGAAGAATTGTAGACCATTTGATTAAAATTTCAAGTATTTAATATTAAGTAATATTTTTTAAAAGATAAATGATCTTCTAATAAATGATGCTTATATTTTTTTAATATTATTATATATAAAATATATCAATTCTTTTTGAAAATAAAATATATCAACTTATAAAATAGTTGTTATTAAAATAAATAAATTTATACTGTATGTACATATTATATGAAAATGCATAAAATTTAGACTTAATATGATGAGATAAAAATTTTAGATCCACAAATAATTTATTAATCAAGTAATAATATCGTTGATAAAAATTTAAGATTTTATAAATTGTAAAATAAACACACTAGAAGATAATAGATGAAGGTTGAAATTACAATTTTAACTCTAAAAAAAATTTACAAATTCAAAAACTGAAAATTTTAACTTTTGTATTAAGTTGAAAAATATTTTTCAAACGTATTTTTTCCCTAAAAATTATCGGATTAATATTGCTTACTGCTCTAAAAATGCTTTTAAACCCCCCCCCCCCCCCACACACACCAAAAAAAACCATTTTAGACGCAATGCTAAACGGGAAGTTAGTAATATTAATGCAAAAGCTCAATCCTTGAGAAAAGTATTTCAAAAAGAAATTCTGATCACCAAAAAAAAACACCCATAATAAAGATGAAACTGGCCATTTATATGAGCTTAAACCCTAAACCCTATATCAGTACACCCTAAACCAATACAGAACTTATATCCCATTCAATAATACACACATATACATATGGGGGAAATAGATGAAACTGGCCAAAAATTAGTGGGCGTTTGCAAATTTTATGAGTTTTTAGTAGGGTGTTGAAGAAAGATAACTAACATCTACCCTGGTTTTCAATTTGCAAGATCTAACAAAACATTTCAAAGCTAGTTCATAACAACCCACCGTGTCGAAATTGAAGAAGAAAAGATGTCTAGCATCTACCTTGGTTGCCCTAATAAACAATGATCGTGAATTACAACACAGTAGGCAAATCTAATTAGCTTTACATTAATATTAGTATAGTGATTCGATTCGTGGTTCTTCCTAGAAATTGGTTCACTTCTGAATGTCAAATATCACAGATTTAAAAAACAATTAATGTATTGTCGTACCTTATTCACCCTGGCAATCATCAGGCATGCATGCTGGCAGGGGATCGACCACCTACCTCACTGCCAATATCATCTTCTACTTCGTTCCCATTGAAACAAATGCCATTGTTATTGACACTAAGCTCTGAACTAGCATTGCTGCTTGTAGCAAGTGGGGAATCCGAGACACTAATATTTCTGCTTCGTGTAGGACCTGATCTCACGCTGTACATAGATGATGCTGGAATATTTGTCATTAAAGGCCGTAAATTACCAGGAATGCGTCGATTTATATCCTGATCAAGAAAAATATGAAGTCAGATAAAGAAATAGCCACTTCCCAAGCTTCAACTTGTTAGTGTATTGGCTCTTAAGAACTTAAAAGTTGAGATGGTTGGGATAAACGAGGGGTAACTATGCTACCTATGAATATAACTATTAACTAAATGATTCGTGATACCTTGATAACTAAATGATACCGTGATACCTTCAAACACATTTACCTTGATAACTAAATGATTCATGATACCTAAGAATATAACTATTAACTAAAACATACCCCTCAGAAAATTTTAGGAGATACTCACCATATGCCTTATAGCCATATCCAATGACTTCTTTGAGAGCGTTCTTCCAAAGCCTGAACTATCTGGCGAGGAAGACTTCCCAGACAAGTTACCATGAGGAGAATGTTTATTATCTTGCCCAGGAGGCGCCAGTCTCCGCATGTTTATTACCCTCTCAACCATTTTAGTTCCAATCACAACAGGGCTCACGTTGTCACTAACTTTTGAAAATCCACGACTTACTGCAGGCACGGAGCTCCCACTGACATGCAGCAAAGCACCATTAGGGGGACGTCCTCTTGAAGGAGAGCATGATTGCCGTCTTGGTCTACCGATGGGGCCTGGTTCAACAGAAGAAGATCGAGAACTTGGTGCTCCAGGCCTGCCTCTTGTCGCTGAAAGTGGTCTATCAGGTAGTGTTGTTCGTAAATTTGGTGGAGCATCAAGTGAGAAACCAGGCATCTCAGAAGGCTTCCATGGCTTAGATTTTACCACTGGAGAGGCACCCCGTGATGGAACAGAATTTCTGGATGCTGCAGGAGTTGGCTTTGTAACTGATGGGGCTGGTTTGATTGGAGAAGCAGATATATTAGCAGCAGTTGATGGACGACGGGTCGGTGTGGCTGCTCTTGATAATGGTTTGGATGAAGGTATAGAAGGTCTTGCAGTCGGTGTTGAAGACCTTCTGGTGGACCTTGTCGGCGTGGCAGATCTTGCAGAAACTGTGGGTTTAGTCACAGAAGATGCAGTCTTGGCAGCAGAAACCATGGGCTTAGTTGTGTAAGATACTGGTTTTGTTGCAGACTTAGTAGCAGACATTACAGGCATTGTTGCAGATGTTACAGGCTTAGTTGAGGGATTTGAGGGCTTAGTTGATGATAATGTAGCCCGAGATTTGGGTGTTGACGATCTTGTAGGTTTAGCTGCTCCAGTCAATGTAGAGCGCCCAGTGGGTGTTGCTGGTCTTGAACCTGGACCCCCTGATGATGAGGGCCTGCGAACACCTGTAGAATTCAACCCAGGGGATAAAGCTAGTTGCTTTGGTGATAAGTTGCTCCTGGCAGCAGACTCTGGGTGGGAATTTGCCAGCTATAAAAACAATGAACAGATAGCTATTGCGAATAAGATCATGAATCCAATTATCAGAACACTTAAACGTCCAAAAACCAAACAAAACCAGATGGAAATAACCTTTGCAATTTTATGATGCAAACATATCTTAGAACATAGATCATCCAGAATATTTTAACAGGTACACAGTTTTCAATAACTTCCAAGTGCTTAAATTTGGGGACCAGTGAGAGTTATTCCTGCTAAGCTGTGAAAAAGTACTAATTGATTTTTGATGGCAAGTCAGTAACATACATAGAGAAAGATTAACAAGTTCCAAGATAACAGCCAGACATCCATGTTTGTTCCAGTTAAAAAAAGGCTCTTTAATCAGTTAATGTATAGTTACAAAAACAAAGAACCTTCAGTTGCTAATTCTTGACCACACTTGGATCTAAAAGATTGACAGGAAATAATCAAATTTCACAGCAAATTGGCCAAAACAGGGCTAAGTTTTGTTCAAACATGGTTTTCAAGAAAATCTGACTCATTTAACAAATGTGGAATTGGATAAATTCCTGCTTCCAGCAACTACTATATCATGTACTTAAATAATCAAACTTTTCAAAGGTATGCAATCCATATTACAGCATTAGGAAAACTTTTCATACCCTAGATTTCAGGGCAGTTAAGCCAGCCTTAGGAGCACCAATCTGACTCATTGCAGTCTTTTGTGACTCCATCTCCAAGGATGGAAAAAGTGGAGTACCAGGAGGTGTTAAAAGCCTGAAATATGAGACAATTCATGTTATAGAGTCGTATAAAAAGGACTATTTATCACTTAATTACATTCATGTGAGAAAAGGATAGGATTAGCACAAAGCTCAAGCAAGTGCAAGCCTTTAACACATCTTTCAATAGATTGTGGGAATTCATCTTAAAACTTCCGTTTAAAAGGTTTTGGAATCAAAACCCGCATTTCAAAATCCTTTACCATTCTTAACATCAAGCATGCATATCTTAAGATTCACAACATAACGTCACAGAAAACTTTGTGAAGCAAAAAATCATGTTTACTAAAGTAACAATAAATTTAGAATTTCTCCTGAATTTATTACAATTTGAAAGTGTAACATTCCTGACAGACCAACATTGTAAATGGATGTCAGAGTTCCAGTCCTTTTTTTTTGGATCAATTCTCTACTTATGGTGTCGATATTGAACAACTGGCTTGTTTTGGAAAACTGAAACTTAACATTTCGACGCAACTAACCTAGATTTATCCACAGATATGCGGATAGAATCTACCAACCTTTCAGCCTCTTTCAGAGAAACAAAGGAAAGGAAGCATGTAAAAGGACTGTAACATGAATCATGAGTAATAATCTGAATATGATAATATAGGGAACAAAAAAGGCTATAGAACCATGAGAAATAAATGGAAACAAGCTATTAACATTGAAATGTGGTTTAACTCAACTCAAATAGAAAGGAAACTGTAGTTTGAGTTCCCGGTACGGTACTGCAACCAATTCATCAAAGGACGCCATAACAAGTCATCATCAATACTTTACTAGCTTCAGAGCAGACAAAAACCAAAAGTAGCCACCATTTTTAGAGAATACAAGTGCTACTATACTTGCAGCTAGTGACCCCAGAGCACATGTTAAAACTGCCCATCACAACCTTCAAATTATTAACTTTAATGAAACACATGTCAACAATAACTATCATCCCACTTTCTTGTTCCTTTCTCTTCCTGTTGTTTTGGCAAACTTAAAGTAAATAACCAAAATCTACCGACAAATGATCAAAAGAGCGTTCAAATGCAAACATGAGCTAAGCATCAATATGACATATAAACTGATATTACAATTAATTAAAATTAAACAACTAAGCCAATTCCAACGTAGTTCTTCCATCATCCAAACATCTGACGTTAACTTCTAAGTTGAATGAGAGCTTTCTGGATTCTGCTTTCAGTTAAAGTAATAGCCTAAATAAATACATTAAATTAAATGAGCAAATTACCATTCATAATCGTTTTTTTCACTTTCAGAATTAAGAAAATCGTCAGCAGCAGCACCCGTCTTTCTCCCCGCCGTAGTCGTCAGTGCCGAAAGATTAAATATCGGGGAAGTTCCAGGTTTAGATCCTAAGGTTTTCAGAAATTACCAAATTAACACAACAACAACAACTAAAACTGCCAAACTAATCACGAACAACAAAACCTAGAAAAATTCAAAAAACTTACCTGAAGGAGCATCAAAGTCTTCGGAGGGGTGATTAAGAAGCGTACTCTGTTCTTTCTCACGTCTACGCATCTCGAGAAACAATAAGAGCTCATCCTCTTTCTCCTTCATCAACGAAGCTCTCAACTGTTGCCGTTGTTTCAACGCTGCCGTTTGCATTGCCGTTTCTTGCTGAGCCCTAAAGCTCCGATTCATCTTCAACACGGTTCAAAAAGGAGCCCTAAATGCAACGTTTTAAAGAGTTGAATTGAGCTTCGGAGTAACTGGGAATGTGAAACGACATGAAGCAGGAAAAGGAGAGGAAAACGACAATGGCGGAAAGTGGCAGAGGAGTGTAAATAAGGGGAAGAAGGGAAGGGTAAAATGGAAAGAAAACGAGAAATTGTTGAATGAGAGACGAGTGAAGAAAACTAGAGAGCTCCCGTTGTTTCTATTTCTTCCTCAAAAGCTACGTTTTCAGATTCCTGGTTTTTGGTGGATGGATAATCACGATAATACCCTCCTTTTGAATTTTCCTTTTGGATTTTTTGTATTTATGCCATTGAACTCTTTAAATATTACTTGATTCATCTATGAACCGTTTAAATAAAATCTATTAGGTCTGATTGATTTTGGATGAGATCAATTTGGATTCAAGTTAATTTCGAGTTTGATATTTTTTTAATTCAAATTATTTTAATTTTAAGTCATTTGATTTTAATGCTTGAATCCTTGATATGAATAGTAAAACATTTGTATTTAATAGATTCTGATTCGATATTATAAGATTTAGAGGTTAAAATGAGTGTTATTCTCCATATAAATCTCGATCTAAATTTGAGTAACAATGTTTACAGAAATATGTATACATTAATTATCGATTAATTTAGAGAACTCTAAATATTTATAATCTTATAATCACTTTATACTAATAAAAAATTATTTCGAGTTCGTATCATTTAAAGTTCGGGTAAGAATAAACCCAAACTACAGACAGAGGTGGGCTTGGCCCTTTTCTAAAAAAATAAAAATTGCATATTCAACCCCTCCGGTAAACGGTGTGTTTAATACTTTAAAAGGTGAAACAAGGTAAATTACAAATTTAGCAACTCAATTTTACGCTCTTTTCTATTTTATTCACAATACTTTTATTTTTTAATTTAATCATTGAATTTTATACATTAGTTTTTTTAATCATTCTACGATGACATGGATTATTTTATTATTATCTCTATATGATATGTCATATTTTATTAGTATTTTAATATCATATAGGATTATAATACCAAAAAAATTAAAAATTCTAAATTATACACTCAAACTCTAAATCCCCAATTATACTCAACCTTAAACCCCAAATTGTAACTACCACCCCACCCTCACCGTTGACAGCCTCACCCTCTCATCGACGGATGGTGGCTCATTGTAGTTAAAGCTTAACCGAAACTAGGGAAATATTTTAAGTGTATAAACGTACCGCGTGTTCCATCAGAAGAAGCTACATGTCCTTTAAATATGCAATTGTCATCCTTATCTTGGCAAGCATATCCATCAATAGGAATTCGGCAGGACCCGTCCAATTTCTCTAGAAAAGCTCTCTCACATGCAATTGGTGTTTCCTCGTGATTCAATGAAACTAGGTAATTAGCCCATATACAATAACCAACCAAATCAAAGGAAGACATAAAAGATTCTAGCATCAAGATTCTCAGTCCTAGAACATTATAAACCCTGGTCTTCGGAGTTTCAGGTTCCTAAGTATTTCAATTCTCAAATACCATGTTTTATTATTTTTATTTTTTTGGTACCATTACAAATGGGGGAGGGGAGATTACAACAACAGGATTTGAACCCTGATCATTTGGGGTGCCAACAAATACCCTTAACCAATGCTCTCTTATGATGTTGTCCAAAAATACAAATTTTCAGTTAAACTTGAACCATGATGAGCCACAATCCACCGATGGGAGGGTGAGGCTGTTTAGGATAAAGTTGAGATGAGGTTATAATTTGAGGTTCATGATTTGGGTATAATTTGGAAATTAAGTTTTAGGTGTATAATTTATAAATTTTAAATTTATTTTTTATTATAAGCTTATTTGGTGTTAAAATATTAATAAAATATAATACAAAAAAAATCGATATTTAAAGTTCGGTGAGTAAATTTAAAAAATTAAAAGTATAGTGAGTAAAATATTATAGAGAAAATAGTTTAGTTACTGAATTTATAATTTACCCAATAAAACTTTGAAATTCATAGGATAAGTCCTATTTTTTTTTCTTTTTTGTTTATTTGCAGAAGGAATCGAAAAATGAAGAACGAAGTGAGCAGCAGCAACAGCAGAGAAGAAAGCTTGGTTGTCGATTGCGGCCGCCGGAGAAGCTCCTGCGGTTACTGTAAATCCTCCGGTCAAACCACTGTCTTCACGGTCTGATTCTTTATTTTCCCCCGTTTTAAGAATAAATTTCCTGGGTTTGCTTCAATTTTAAATTTGATATGCTTGACTTAATTTTTCATTGATTTAAGTATAACTAATAGTTAATCAGTTTAAGATATTGCTAAAGGATTCTATTCTATTTCAAATATTTGTTGATATTTTATATTTTTTGGGTTTCTTTTTGGTGGTGTTTTTGCAGGTTTATGGGCGCATAGTCTTACAGTTAATGATTATCAAGGTTTATTTATTTATTTATTCACAGCAATCTTCTAAGTGAATTTTATTCTTTCGAATTGTTTCAGCTGTTAAAACAAAATTTTGATGTTGCAGTTTCTATTGAAGAAGTGGAATATGTAATTTGACTTTAGAAATTTTGTTAATTGCAGAAGAAAATTGTTATTTAATTGTTAGGAATGTGTGTAATTTGGAATTTAATGAATGTTATGCAGTAGTGATCACTGAGATTAATCTGATTTTTAATGTTTTGTTCATTGATAAGAGTTATCTTTGGATTTGTTGATTTTATACTGTTTCTTCATTGCTGCTTGTTAGATCTTCTTGACCGTGGTTGGAGGATATCCGGTTGTTTCCTCTACAAACCTGAGATTGAAAGGACATGCTGCCCATCTTATACTATTCGTTTGAAGGCAAGTGATTTTGTCCCTTCTAAAGAGCAACGTCGAGTTTATAGGCGAATGCAAAGGTATAGTGATTCTCATGCCCTGTTTCTGTCTTGGCTTCTGCTAGAAAATTTCTAATTTCGATACCCTTTAGTGTCATAGTAAATTTTTTTTTTGTGTGCACTGCTTAAAATAAGATACTTCCATTGAGCCATTTAACCACCGTGCTCCTAGCAACCAAAAGGGTTTCTAAATATGGACATATGTTTGAACATGCATTCATCGCATTCTTTTGGAATATGTAGATCCTGAGTTCTGACTGTATTGTATGCCTAGGTTTTTAGATGGCACACTTGAGGTGAGGAAACCAATGGAACATGCCGACGGTCAAATTGCTTCTAAGCATACAATCATTTAGTCTCAAGCTCTGCGAATGAATCTTTCTCTTGTGATAGTAAAATGGAAAATAAGTCAGAAGAGTTTATGCATCATTTATCTAATCAAATAGACAAAGTGGTGAATGCATATATTGAAAGTGGGGAATTTCCTTCTGGAATTCAATTTCCAAAAGCTGTGGTCAAAATGGTTTCACATGCCAAAAGAAAGTTAGCAGTTGAAGGGTCAGAATATCTTTTGTACACCAGCAACATTGCCTTCCAAATAGCAGCCACTTTGAGGCGGACACTATCAGCTGAGAGGGATAACCAACAATCACGAATGTCAAGACATAGTGCAGAAGTAATTGATCTGTGTCCCAAATCTATTGCCGAAAAGTTGGCATTTTCTCTAAATCAGCTAGCAAACATTTCTGGCCTGTCCATTAGGGCATGCAACGGGCATACCAATTTTTATTCTACTGCTAAAAGTCCTATAAAAAAAATCTACTGCTAAAAGAGCATCTTCAGATAGAGATGTTCAAATTGTTGCTTTGCCTGGAGAATTTGGGAGTGGAAGTCAAAGCAGATCTGTAAAGAAGAGCTCTGAATACCGTCACGGGAAAAAGAGGAAGCTTGAGATCCGTTTGAAAAGGTCCAGTTTTGATCCAGAAGAGTATGCATTGTATAAACAATATCAAATCAAAGTGCATAATGATCCACCAGATCGTGTCACAGAAAGCTCATACAGGAGATTTCTTGTCAATGCTCCCTTATTTTTTGTTTCCCATCTGCTGATGGCATGGTTCCTCCAATGTGGCTTCGGTTCATTCCATCAGCAATACATCATTGATGGCAAGCTAGTTGCTGTTGGTGTGGTAGATGTCCTTCCCAGATGCTTGTCAAGTATTTATTCTGGGATCCTGATTATGCATTTCTATCATTGGGTAAATATTCAGCTTTGCAAGAGATTGATTGGGTGAAAGAGAATCAAGCCTATTGTGCCAGTCTTCAGTATTATTATATGGGCTATTATATACATTCCTGCCGCAAGATGAGATACAAAGCAGCATATTACCCATCTGAGCTTTTTTGTCCTCTTCGTTACCAGTAAGTTCTGCCTCTACCAACCATCTACATCTAATACACTTGCTGATTCTGGATTTTGTATCCCGTGAAATAAATGTTATATAGTGCAGTGCATTTTTATTGAACTTAAAAGTTTTTTAAGCAAACACTAAAAATACGGGGCATCTAGTATATTTTAGTTCATTCCATTTTTAATATTCTTGGCATTTAAACTTGATCTCTTCTTTCTTCTATCCATTATAACCTTCTTTTATCTTATATTCTGTATTTTTGCTTGATATTCTTGACTGTTTTCGAGAATCTCATCCTCTAGTCTCCCCTTGCTGTGCATAACTAGAATTATCTTATATTACATGTTTGCTACTGTCTGCATATACTGGTGATTTGAAGTTTTATGAGCTGAAATAATATTTCCAGGTGGGTTGCATTTCATATAGCGAGACCGATGCTTGATAAAAAGAAATACGTCGTCTTGTCAGATAGTGCCAGTTTACAAGATGGAGAGTCCTCCCAATCTTGTAATCCTGAAAGTCTCAAAGACTTGCAGCATGATGAGAATGGACTAGAAGACTCAAATGATGTTTCTATGGGTGAAGATGAACAGATGACTGAGATTGAATCTGACAGCTCCGATGATGAATTGGAGCCGGAAACAAGTGGCTTGGGATCTGGTGCAACAGTTGATGGCGATGTGAGTAATGTTTTAGTTGGATTGAGAGGTTCACGACTAAGATACAAGGTAAGTAAATGCTAGGCTAGGTGTTTTTTGTGCTCAGTTCATGTTTGTATGCTAATTTTCTAATAGTACTAGTAATGTATGCAATTTTATATTCACCCAAGAGGGAGTTTACCGAGCTTTTATGTCATAATTTCATTCTCTAGTTTGCAAGTTGCTCCACGATATATTTATGTCATAATTTCCTTCTCCAGTTTGCAAGTTGCTCCATGATATATTGTTAAGAAAACTTGTTGCAACTTATCTTTTACTTCACCGAACAACATATAGAGACATATTTATTAGTACACACCCTTGATCTAGAGAAATAATTTGAACTTGGATCAGAAAGCTAAATATAAATCTCCTTTAATTGTCACATAATGGCACCTGTTCAGCATTTACATAATTGTTTTGTATTCTAATTAAAGGTTTCTTTGCAAAGGATCTACAACTAGCATTTGGTCCATCCGGAAGGAATTACTTAGAAACACTATTGCATTGCTACCAGAGAGTGGTGGGTGTAGAGCTATCCGAGAGAATGGTTTATTCACTTGGCTATAATTTATCTTGATTCAGATGGATTAAGAAGTATAATTTATCTTGATTCAGATGGCTTGAGAAGTTTGATCTCGAATCAATGTACCTTCAAGGCTTCTAAGCTTACTTGGAGTAGGGATCACTTCGGTTCAATCCATTTAGTTAAAGAAGCAATGATCTCTTAATAGGTACGGTACATCTACCTCTCGTATACGTATCGGTATGTAGAATCGGTTGGATTTTGTAGTTCAAGGAACTCAAATATGCTCATGCTTTCTTGTTGTAGTGGCAATTATACGCCATTTAAATAAGCTTTGATGTGCCACTTTAAGCAAAAATGCTCTGTTGCTCCAGTTTTTCATTTTCATCGCACAATCTTGGGTATGGAGGTATGATGTTTTCAGAATTCTAAAAATCCAAAAAATGTATAAGAAATTGAGAATGTTAATGTCAGACACATACTCGTATGAGAGTTGTTCGTATGAGTCTTTTATATTGAGTTTGAGTAACACTGACTACAGGTGCTACTGCCATTAGAGTAATGGCATGGGCATACATACTTTTTGCATCATCTCGTGAATGCCAAGCCTACCACAGGGTTAAGAGCCTAACAACATAGGCCCTATGATAAAAACCGATTTGGTTTGTTAAAGAACCGAAGTTCGAGACATATACATGATATCAATACCACGCATGGAACTTATCTAAATCAGGTCAAATTATCTTTTATGATATTTAGTCCGAGCATTTAGTCCTTATACTTTAATTTAATATAGTTTGGTCCTCGTACTATGATTAATATTATGCATTACAAATAAGATTTGCCGGCAATGATAAGTACTTGTTCCTTTTTTTCCACTTTCTTACAAGAATGGCATAGTATATATATGATGATCAACTGTTAAAGGTAGCAATGAAGCTGATAGGACCCTTTCCAGTGACAGCAGCCTGGATTCCAAAGATGAGGAAAGCAACCATGGCAAGCCTTGAATGCTTGATCTCAGCCAGTTTGAGGTTATCAATTTTTTCAGGGTCTGAGGCTAACCCAAGTGGATCAAAATAGCCACCAGGGTACAGCCTCTTCTCTGGGTCAAGCTCTGCGTTCCTCTGGAACTCAATGTAACCAATCACCAATACCTCAATCCATATTAATGTGGTCAACGAAAATGGAAGTGGTTGCCCAAGATAAGAAGACCCTTCCACTAATTCTACCTGAAAAAAAAATATATAAATAAAACACAAAGAATTAAAAAATGCAATAATAATAATAAGGATTATTATATGATACACTGATGAGTGAAAAAGATATTTTGCAATCGGATTATATCAATATCATGTCTTATTTAGGATTTAAGTGTCAGAGTTATAGATTTTAGGGTTTGTATTTAAGATTTAGGATTTAAAGGTTAAGTACGAACCAAACAATCTTAGTAATTAAAGAATTGTTATTATCCATTGAGGTTTCAAGTTCGAGCATGATATTTACAAAAATGTATGACAGTTCACTATCAATGTCAATTTGTCTTTTAATCAGCCAATACAGATCATAAAGTTTGGTTGGATCATATGAAGACACGATTGTATTGAGAGAAAGGGGAAAATGGGTTGTGGGACACAGCCATTGTTGTAGTTTTCAAAATGGTCCCAAAAGATCAAATTTTGCTTTTATGAATGAAAGTGAACCCTTCTTTATATCCCTCCAATGAGCAGATTAAATAACACATAAATCCTTTTCCTCCACTCGTTTTACCTATACCCTTTGGGATATTGAAATTTTAATTTTCTCCCAAATTGACGACAAATTTAGGTGTTTTACCATACATTTTAACATATCAATATCATAATAAATGAATATATCATATTTCAGTATGGATTTATTCAAAGGTCGAATTCGATGTGATTTTAATAAAAATATTAAACTAAAAAATATGGTTAGTTCAAAAGTTAGACATATTTAAAATACAAATTTGATTATGTTGATGTACAATAAGGAAAATGATCGTTGTTGGGATAGTTCATCTATTTTGATTTTGATAGAAAATTATTAGAAACGAAAATTATAAAATCTTTGATAAAGAGAGATTTACCTGAGCCTAAATCATCACTCTATAGAGAAGGGGAAATTTTTTATATACTCTGTGCTCTAGACATCATATGATCAGATAGATGAGCGTGAGAGATAAAATGAATATAACGTCAGTTTATTTATCAGGGTCAGGATGAGATTTGTTACGTTTGTTTGTTGAACATGACTAAATAAGTTTAGTTGTCCTAAAACAATGAGTGATACAAAAGTGAATTGTGAAGTTGTGATTATAATGGTTAAAACTCACATCTGAAAAATATTACACTAATATAACATATTCAAACTTTAATATTCAAATATCTAAATTTAGTTAAACCATTAAAATTTCTATTTAAGATTTTTTAAAGTTCATATATATATATATATATATATATATATATATATATATATATATATATATATATATATATATATGATTTATTCATATTGTATAATTTTTTTTAGTTTCATACTTTTCTATGATTATTGGACGAGTGAAAGTAGATAGTTGAGATTAACAATAAGGAACGAGGAGATATTTACATAAGGAAAAAACAATGAGATAATCTCACCCGTCTATTTTCACTCGTGCAATGATTCTTAAAAAAATATAAATATATGGGTAAATTACAAATTTGGTAACTGAACTTTACTCTCTTTCTCCTATTTCATTCACTATTTTAGATCTTTTCAATTTTATTACAGAACTTAATACATTGGGTTTTTTGGTCATCCAGTCGCTTTTTCACTAACGATGTTATAAATGGGCTATTATATAGATGCAAAACGATACCATTTTGGTGAAAATTTTATTTTTCTAAAAAGACATCATTTTAATGTCGTTAACTATTTAACAACAGAGTGACAAAAAATCTAATATATTAAGTTTGGTGAGAAAATTGAAAACTTTTAAAGTTCAGTGAGCAAAATATGAGAGAAAGTAAAATTCAGTGATAAAAATTTGTAATTTACCCATAATATATATATATATATATATATATATATTTGTGTATTTAGTTACGCATTAAACGACGTACCTTTCCCGCGTCTTGCCATGCAACTCCGGTGAGTGCCTCAACAGCGATTGCACCAAGAGTACCCAACATTGCCCATCTCCCATGAATCAGCTCGCACTCTCTAAACCTTTGCAACCCGAAAACCTCCGTGTACGGCTGAAACGGCGTCGGTTTCAGCTCCGCCGTCTCGTTAATCACCCCTATGACCTCACCAGCCACATTCTTGGCCAAGTTCTGGTCCAATGAGTCCAAATCGAACTGCAAGTATTCCGCTGGTTTACCGAGCCCGAAAGGGTCGAACCCTCGGTCTCCGATCATTGTCCCGTCGAGCCATTCCGGCGGGTTCGCTCCGGGGAACCAAACAAGGCGATCGGAAGGCGGTTTCGGGGCTGCTTTTTTGGGTTGTGGTGGTGCTTTCTTAGTTCCAAAGCCAAACCTAGCTTGAATTCTACCGGAGCCTTGGTTGAAGTTTTGGATACAGGTCCCGAAAAAATGTGACACGGTGGCGGTTGTGGTGGTAGCCATGGCGGAGGACTACGAAACGGTGGTAGTGGTTGAGTAGCTCTAGAGGATATTGTGTCTACAAATTTTTACAATAATATATTATATTGAATATGGGGAATATCATGTATAAAAAAATGTCTTGTTATGCTTTCAGTTGTAAAACTTACATTTGGTCTCTCTACTCTGTTAAAACTTGAAATTCAGTCCTTATAATTTAATTTAGAATAATTTAGTCTTTTTACTTTTATAATTTTATTAGTTATTCCAAATTATTAACCCCATGAACTATTATAAGTAATAACATGATTTTTTTCAATAATATATATATATATATATATATATATGCATTCAGTTAATGTGCAATTGTTCATTAAATTAAATTGTTTGGTTGAAATTTTTAAAAAAAATTACATATATCAAGATTTTAATATAAATGTTAATTGATGTTTATAATTTGGATTAACTGCTATCATTATAGAAAGAAACGATAAAAAGACCTTTTAGATTTTCTTTTGATTTTAAAATTAGATAAATTAATCTCTCCAAAAAACAAAAAAGTAATTCAGTCCCTGTTAATTTTAAAAGTTAGATATTAAGGATAATTTATAAAAATTTAATGTTTTCTGTCAATTTTACTTTTTTTAGATTTTTAATTTTACATAATTTTGATTCACAATAATAAAATTATTCCTTAAAATTTACATATTATATTAATTTAATCATGATTCTTAAAAATTTCAACACATGAAATTGGCCTCTTAAAAAAATACTTCAGCCTCTATTAATTTCAAAATTTAGATATTAAGGATAATTAATAATAATTTTATGTTAATTTGAGCTTGATTCTTAAAAATTCAACATATAATTAACACAAATTATAGATGTTGAGGGTTAAATTTTTTTTATATCATCAAAATTATGTAAAACTAACGGAAAATATGAATGTTGTGGCGGCGATTTTTCCGATATATCACCGGTGACCGGTAATATTACCGATCTAACACCGGTCAGACTATATTTTCCGATCTAACACCCTTAGCAGTAAAGCGTGCCCCCTGTACCGCGCTATACGATGATTTGGCGCCACGTGGGGTATAGAGTACCCCTGCACCGCGTTATACGGTGAGCTGGCGCCACGTGGGTATAGCGTAGCCCCTGCAGTGCGCTATACGCCACGTAGGGGTATAGCGCGGATCTGGTACCGCGCTATACATTTACTCCTAATAATTTTATATAGCGCGGGGCAGGTACCGCGACATACTACATAATTTTATATAGCGCGGGGCAGGTACCGCGTTTTGTATAACTTTCCTCGCTATAAATACCATTCTCCGCCGGTTAATTTCTCACATCTCTCCTCTCAACTTATAAATTAATACAACAATTCCGTCAACGAGTCAATAATTCTGACAATCTTCTCATATTTTATTTAGAAGTTCGTGCGATTTTTCGTTATAAGGTAATTTTGTTATAATTTTTTTATATTTATTGTTTATTATGATTATTTGAAAAAAAATATTATACTAATTATTTTCAATTAATTTTTGTGTTTGTAAAATTGGAAAGCGGGAGCATACGTCGAAATAGTTTTGCGGTGCAGGTAATAATATTAAATTATATTATTTAATTTATTTACGTTGATGTGTAAAAATTTTATTGTGTTATATGTTCGTTCATATATAATTTATTAAATCAGGTTTGTTTCATTTATTTTTTTTCCAGATATAATAGTGTCGCACTTTTAAACTCAAATAATGGCGCGACTTTCAGCTATTGTTTATTATGATGGTGAAATTCGAGAAGATGAAACTGACGTTGTTTTCGTATCAAATGAGCGTGTTAAAATATCATTCAAGAGAAACATAACTCTTGAGGAGCTTATAACGAAGATTTCGAGGAAGATTCATGTTGGAAGTAGTAGAAGAGTGTCGTCGTTGCAGTATAGATTTCCAACATCATTGTTGCCATTAACTTATACAGCGTTCGAACTTTCGAACAATGATGATGTTGAAATGATGGTTGAAGCTCAAAGTAATTATTCATACGCTGCTATTGAGATGTATGCACATTTTGTTCAAGTGCGTGTTGTTCAGGGTCAATCATTAAGCTCTCACTATGGGCTGACTGAACAAGTTGATCAAGTTAACAGCCCGACGACAGTAATGTGTAATGATTTTAATGTCATAATGGGGAGACATTCATCCGCAACTCCTTACGATATGTACCGAGGTAGGTCGACGAACAATCCGTATGTCAACATCGCGTCCAGTTCAAGGGGAAGGCATTTATCTGCAAATCCCTTTGACCTTAATATGGAGATGCCATCGACGCAATCATCTGTGCAGTTTCCATTTGACGCGATGGCTTCAAGCTCTAGGGGGAGGCATTCGACTGCGAGCTTTTTCGATCTCAATGTCGCTATGCCTTCTAGTTCAAGGGGAAGGCGTGCAAGTAGTAGGTTCTTCGACCTAAATGTGGAGAGCATAGAGGAACCATCATCTCCACCAGAAGAACCGCTTCGTGAGCCTGGTGCAGATGGTGCTGAGACTGGATTGTTCATTGACCCAGAATCACCGCAATTCAACTCCGATGATGATGAAGTTCCAGGAAATGTGGCACAAACTGACCCTCCTGCACACATGTATGAAGTTGATTATGGTGTAATGTACGGGCCAGAATTTTCGGATATGCCTCATCTCGGTGACTATGGGTATTACTCATCAATAAATAATGGTGAGTTATCTTTAGGCATGGAGTTTTCAAGCAAAGAAGAAGCGATGATGGCTATCAAAAATTACAATATTCGTAATTCTATTCAGTCCAGAGTAGACCGCTCCACGACCAAAAAATATGTATGCTATTGTGCCCAGCGCGAAAATGGATGCAATTGGATGGTTCGCGTATCGAAGAGGAAGAGGAAAAACAACAGATGGGAACTAACAGTATACAACGGTCCTCACACGTGTTGTGCTGGAGGGATCAACCAAGATCATCTCAACTTGGACTCTGAAGTGATATGCCAAGCCATCATGCTCATGGTCAAAGCAAGCTCTCATATAGTTGTTGCAGTATTGATTTCAACTATACAATCGCAGTATGAGTACACTGTCTCCTATAAAAAAGCTTGGTTGGCAAAACAAAATGACATTGTCAAACTTCATGGCGAATGGGATGTATCTTACAACGAACTTCCAGGTTGGTTTAGATTGGTGTGAACGTTGAATCATGGGACAATTGTGGACTTAGAAACCTCCTATGCATTCCATAATGATCGAGTTCTTCGCGATCGATGCCAATTCTACCGGGTTTTTTGGAGTTACCCACAGTGCGTTAATGCTGTCAAATACTGCAAGCCTGTGGTCCAGATCGACGGGACTTTCTTGTATGGAAAATACAAGCAAGTTTTATTATTGGCAGTTGTCTAAGATGGCAATCGCAATATTCTTCCAGTTGCTTTTGCTCTTGTCGAATGAGAAGATACATCTTCTTGGGCTTTTTTCCTCCGAAATTTACGGGAACATGTTATCACGAGGGAAAACATCTGTGTCATTTCCGATCGCGGAGTTGAGATCAAAGTAGCAATGGAGTCTTTGGGTCCAATGTGGCAACCACCCTTTGTCCAACATAGGTATTGTCTTCGACACATTGCCGCGAACTACCATGGAAGGTACAAGAAGAATGATGAGCGTCAATTAATTGTGCGTATGGGTAAGTGAAACTTAGCAAGTTTGTTATCTTTCGATCGTTTTAATTTTGCAAAGACAACAAGTTAGTAAGTTATATATTTTTTGATCAGGTTACGAACTACTTCCTCGAACGTTTGAATCAATGTTTCAAGAGTTGCGGGCGAAGAACGAGGAATGAATTGATTACATCAGCCTCATCGATAAAGAAATGTGGACGAACGCATATGATGGTAGATATCGATATGGACACATGACGACAAACTTGGCAGAGGCAATCAATTCAACCTTAAAGGGTGCACGTCACTTACCTGTAGCGGCTTTGGTAAAGACTATATGTTTTCGTTTGGGGGCGCTTTTTGCGAAACTCGGGGGACAAGATCAAACCTGGATGCAAGGCGGTCATGTCTATCACCTTAGATTAGTTGCAGATCTACAGAAAAAAAAATTGCTGCATCAAATGAAATGTCGGTAACAAGCTTCTCTAGAAGGCATGAAATGTTTCGTGTCACAGAGTTACCGCGACCTCTTCAAGGGATTGAAGCTGTGTCGTTAAGAGTAAATCTAAGGGACAGAACATGCGACTGCGGGTTTTTTCAAGCTCTGAAGTATCCATGCTCTCATATGATAGCAGCTTGCTCGTATACACGTTAAGACTATAACCATTTTTTGGATCTCGTATACCTACTATCTGAAGTTTTTAAGGTATACGAATTTGAGTTTCCCCCATAGGTAATGACAAAGACCCTGATGAGGTTCAAGATTGGCTTCCGATTGTACCAAATCCGAGTTTATTGAGGGAGCGTGATCGTCCAAAATCCAATCGAATTCATTACGATATGGATATTAGAGAAAGATCTAGACAAGACAGAAGATGTGGGCATTGTAGAAACCCATGACACACTAGAAAAACATGTCCACTTCTGTTGTCATCAAGTAACAATTGATGAGGAAATGATGTATTTTATTATCAAATTATAATTCTTCTACTTTAATTTGCATTTACTTCAAGTTAATGTCATTTGATAATCACCGATGAAGATTAAAAAAAACAAACACAATCATTAAATTTTAACAAACTAATAACAATAAGTATTAAATGGTAAATGATAACCAAATTATAATAACTGATATTAAATGGTAATAAAAAATGAACTGAAATACATTAAAAAACAAAATAAAGTAAGTATTAAATGAGAAATAATAAAAAAATTACAATTTAACAAAATAAAGCAAATACAAATATAATAAAAAACAAAATCTATCGATGCCTGCGACGCGAATGTGTTCCGCAGGGCGGTGGCTGTCGGTCTCGAGGAGGATTTCTGCGTATCACTGGTTCTGACTCCTCGCTAGGGGTGGGAATAGGCCATGCCAGGCCAGGCTTTAATAGGCCTGGGCCTGGCCTACAATGATTTGGGTAGGCCTGGGCTTGGCCTGTGGCCTGTCAAAGGCTTTTATTTAGGCCTGGCCTGGGCCTATTTAAAAGCCTGGCCTGTTTAAAAGCCTGTTTAACAATAAACATTTAATATTTTCAGTTTAGCCATTAATTTTAGAGTAAATCCCTATTAAGTCACTCTAACTTAGTACATTTTACAAAGTAGTCACTCTAAATAGGCCGGCCTATCAGGCTTATAAGGCTTTTTAATAGGCCTAAGCCTGGCCTGTTTAGTTAAATAAGCTTTTAAAAAGGCCTGGGCCTGGCCTGTTTAGTTAAACAGGCCAGGCCAGGCCCAGGCCCCTGGAGGCCGGCCTGGCCTATTCCCACCCCTACTCCTCGATGTCATCATCATCACCGTCGGCGTCGTCGTCGTTGTTGTCATCGTCGTCTTGCGCAGGTACATGAGGAGCTGATGACGATGAAGCACCTCCGTAGAATAAGGACCCTGGAGGTGTATGACTGACTATCCCACCGGCCTGTGAAAACTGGGAAAAGTCATAAAACCCAGACATCGTTGAGTGTGAAAACTGTACAGGAGGCGGTGTCTGTGATGCGACTATGGGTGATGAGCCTGAACCCGCCAAATATCCATTATATGAACCCCAAGTCGGGTCTGCAAACATAGACCCATAATAGCCTCCAGGATGGGTCATCTGTGACGGTGGCGGTGGTGGGGTCATAAAATCGGGGTGAAGCCGGCGACGACATCTGGTAATGGAAAGGCGATGACGGCATCATATATGGTTGTGGCATCATATATGGTTGCGGTGGCTGCTGGGAAGGTCCTACTGGTGCAGCTGAGGATGAACCGGATGCACCTGCTCTCCGTCCACGAGTCGGGGGATGATAGTACTGTGTCGGTGAACGTCTTTGTCGACGTCGTGGAAATGTCTGCCCTCGTGCATCCTCGGGAAGTAGAAACAGTTTTCCGTTACTGTTGAACCACTCATAATAATCCTCAGCATACATCAAGAAGTCAGTAAAAATGGGCTCTCTACGTGGAAGGCGCCGATGTTGATCCTCCCACAACACGACCCACCCATGATGCCTCACCAGCCAATATGTATCTGTCTTGCCGCGTCTATCTAAGCTATGTAACTCGTCCATATTGCGAGGTGCTTCCGGAATTGGTTGAAAATAACCAAACTGTCGGAGCACGCGATCAGTGGAGTGCCACTCAACGGTCGCATAACAGATCAGAGAGACCATCGCCATCCAAACATCTAATGGACCCCTCAACTCAGGTGGGATCACCGCCCTCACATCATCAGTAGAATATGGCACCCATTCAAACTAAAACAAATAATATATAATTTTTATCAAAATAATAATCTAATTATATAACTATAATCTAAAATCGATTTTTAATCATTAAAATTCATACCTGTGTGCCAGCCTTCTGATCGATTAGCACCCTAATCTTTTCTAAATCATCAGGTAGCTCCTGATGATTTTTCCTATCAGTAGACCACCTATTCAAGGAAAAAAATTTGTTATACGCTGTATAAAATTATTAATATACAAAATCAGTTTTATAATTACCTCAGAAGTAGTGGAAATACGAATGGGTTCTTCACAACGGGACATAAAAAGGGCAATCGATACCATGCCCAAGACTGCAGCAGCAGGAGACATCCGCCGATAGCATTACGCTTGTAGTCAGTGGCTCCACACATCTCCCTGTACAGCAAAGCCAAAACTGCCGAGCCCCAACTGAATGATCCGGCGAGATAAAAGTCGCTAAGATGTCGCAACCACATGCAGTGAACTAGGTTGCGCGATTTGTCCGGCATCAGCAACCCTCCTATCAGCTGCAGTATGCATGCCTGTGCATACATCTTAACCTCATCCTCAGAGACGTCTGCGTTCAACTCCCGAAAATTGGCATCTAACCAATTTAACAGTATCCTACCTCCGATAAAATTTTTCGGGACACGTCCTAGACTATCACGACACAAAGCAGTCCAAGAACCGGAAGCTATCCCCGATATCACATCTCCATCCACCGGAAGCCCCAGGTGCATAGAAACATCCTCAAGCGTGATCGTGCACTCTCCGCACGGAAGATGGAATGTATGGGTCTCCGGCCTCCACCGCTCTACTAAGACAGAAATCAGGCCTGGCTCTATCTTACAGTGACCCTGATATCTACCTATATAACCGAATCCAGCCTCTACTAAATACGGCAAGACACGGCTGAGTATCACTAACTTAAGATTCCTAATAAAAGGATCTAATACACGGTCCTTCTCCTAAAAATAAATAATTACAAAAATTAATTCTTAATCTAATAATCATGCGTTAAATGAATCAACTAAATATTACTAATAATTTAAATTAAATTAAAACGTTAAAATGTTACTGTATCAGCAAAGTGTAGAGATATATGATTTTCATCCGAGCGAAGTAGACTGCCTTTCATTATATATCTGCAAAAGAATTATATTAGTAAGATATTAAATAAAGTAAAAATATAATAGTAAAAATATTATAAAATATACCTTAAAAAGAGAGTATTTGAGAGAAATTTAGAGAATTTGAGAGAATTTGGTGTGATAAAATTGATTGAGAATGGGGGTATTCATAGGGATGAGGGGTCGGTAGTTAGGGGTATAGCGCGCCCTCTGCACCGCGTTATACCCCACGTGTCAGATATACAAGTATAGTGCGTTGTAGGGGCCGCACTATACCCACGTGGCGCCAGCTCACCGTATAGCGCGGTGCAGGGGGCGCGCTATACCCCACGTGGCGCCAAATCATCGTATAGCGCGGTGCAGGGGGCGCGCTTTACTGCTAAGGGTGTTAGATCGGGAAATATAATCTGACCGGTGTTAGATCGGTAATATTACCGGTCACCGGTGATATATCGGGAAAATCGCCTATTGTGGCTAGGTGTCTTTTGCTCACATTCAAAATTGTCAAGGACTAAATTGCTCATTTTTTTGAAAGTGACCAATGTCTTTTACCAAAACTAAAAGAACCATATTATGTCAAATTAAAGTGCAAAGTCTAAATTCAAAAGTTTATCAAAGTATAGAGGTCAAAACCATAATTTGATCTTTTGTTTTGTTTCATCAAATTTTAGGGCCCTTATTTCTGCCTTATCCATCCATGGATGAGGTTGATGGCTTCTTCACCTTACTATTTTGTGGGGTATTTCGGAATCTTTCCTGTAATTTTCCAGCAAAGGTTCAAGTATTCCTTTGAACCAAACAAACAATTGGGTTGTTTTGTAATGGAAAATTAAAAAAAAAGTTTTTTTTGTGCTCGAGATTGAAGAAAAGCAATGAAGTAGCTACAATATATCTTCATCATTTGAATGAATGGGAAAGAAATTTACAACATTAAGTGGACAAAATTCACTTAGGCATATTTAATTTTTTTTTTATATACAATACTTGAGTGACTCAACGGTAAAAGATAACCTCCTCAAGTGATTGAAGTTCAAATAATATTATTTATATGTGTGCGTGAGTTTAAATCTAAATCTTTTCAATATATATATATAAGAAAATTCGTTAAAAATTAGTTCGTTAAATTGATAGCATGTAAATGTGGTTATTTCTTTTTTATTTTTCTGCAAAAATTCATCTAACTCCTATGATTATTGTTGTTGGTCAATCATCATTCTCAACAAAATCAATATTAAAAGGTTCCTTAGATTAATTTTTTACGAAATACGCTCAAAATCAATGAAAATTCATCTAAATGTTCGGTATTCTAAAACTCAGACTCCTACTATAGCTACAAAACTTATTAAAAATTAACAAATAGTTTTTATAAATTCAAAATTCTAAAGCTCCAATCTCTTGGAATAGTTATCCAATGAAACTAGTTTTGAGCCGCGTTGTTTATCTTCTCGAAAGAATGCTTCTTACCTTTTAGATTTTTCAAACAAACATCTTAAAATCTTCAAATTTGAGAAAGACTTCATACTTCAAAATGATGATAAATCCAAGAATTTAAAAGAGATTTTAAGAAATTTAAATAATAAAATGAGAGGACGATAAAACAAGTTTATTGGTGTCTAATATGATCACCGATGTCTAGTGTGGTAAAGGCAGATAAGAAAAGCTAAATATTAGTTTTGCTAAAATTTATACAAATTTCTAACTTGATGGTTAAGTACGAGTAAAGGGTTACCCGATGAACTTGATGGGTCTTCTTAGCCAATGTAAAGATGAATGTTGGAAAAAGAGATTACAGTATAGCGAGTGCAAAGTTTCATTCTTGTAATACATAAATATTTAATTTCCCATGACTGAAAAACTTCACCTTTCTTGAAAAACAAAACTTTTCAATGGTGTTTTATTTCAGCTGCTGTCCCTGGTCTTTAATGCCGATTCGACGAGTTCAACCTTCTTCGTACTCTCGCTATTGAGCAGGGAGAGTTTCTCAAGTGATGATTTCAGTTGAGAGATTCGAGTATCCTGCACATTGTTCCTACCGGGCATTTTCCTTCGCTGGTTTGTTACACTGTCTTTTGAAGATTGTGTATACCTTCTAAGTCTCGCTCTTATTGTATCGATAGAGGATTTTAAAGCATCCAGTTCGACTCCGGTGAATCGATCTGCATGATGAACAAACAAATTGTCCAATGATGTGAGGTGTTATCGACATGAGACTTTGCATAGTAAGAAATTTTATGTGTATGAGATTGATTACCGAGTTCGGACTTAAATTCTCGTTCTGCTCTAGACAACGGTTTCTTGTGTGCCCCGGGCAGTCTTCTGAGACGTTGCAGACGCTGTTCCAAGGAACTGTGTCGCTGGACTGCACGATCAATCCTCTCATCCAGCATAGACTGTTTAGCCTCAACTCTCAACATCTTCTCTTGTGCCTCGTTCAAACGAGCGTGCTGGTCATCTATGATCCTCTTTAGCTGAGGTCCATGATGTTTCAGCTCAAAGTAGACCTAGAGATGTCGAGGAAAAAATAGAACATTAAAAAGTAACCATAAAGACAATGATTTCAGCTTTTAGAGACGACGAAAGCAAAAGCAGTTTTAGAATCAAAAAGAAAAATGTTATATCGACATTAAACCGTGCAAACATCAGTCTTGAGAAGTTGAGGAAAAAGAAGAGTCTTTTACATCTGAGAAAGAACCTTTTTGACATTTAATCTAAGAGGAGAGAGAAACTGCACAGACAAATCCGTGGGAGAGAAACCCAATGCTAGTAAATGGATTTCAATTAGATTATGCATTCTCACCTTATGTGCATACTCGACATAATTTTCATGGAAAAGCTTGAAGTACTGATGAAGAGCAGATCGACCTTCGATGGAATCTGCAGAGATAGAACGCAGATTAGGAGAGGCCTGAGGAACCAGAACTGACTTTGGACCACTGAGGAGTTCTTTGCTTATGATATCTGGAGTATCTTTCTCTTTCTGCTCTTCCAAGCTAACGGGCTTCTCTTGGTCAATTTGAATTGGAAGCAACAAATCCCAAGTTTTCATCTCTAGCACAACACATTCTTCGGTTGAAGTGACTACCACAACCCATGAATATCCGAATGAATCTGATAGTGAGGCAAAGCCAAAAAGAGGAGAAGGTGAAGATGTTTCTCCCTGGCATGTACTTAGTACAGGATGCACAGAGGGAATTTTGATATTCTCATCCTTCCCATTGATCTGAGACGTAAAAGGGAGAAAATGCAAGACTATCGAGTCTACCCCTCCCTCATGAAGAGAATATATTCTTTCGGGCATAAGCGGATCTGGAAACATTGTGATAAGAGAACCACCTTCGGTCTTCCTTGGCAAAGCCAAATCCACGATTGCCAGTCTCAACAACGGAGGTGGATGACCCAACCAAACAGTGTTATCAAGTGGTTGATCAAGCTTCACAATAGAATGCTCAGCAGCAATTGATTCACAGATCATAGCAATCCCACGAACATAATCACGGGGGTCAACACGAAGACGAGGTGCACTACCAGTTATCCAGACTGGCTGGATTTCATCAGCTAGGGCATCTATTTGCAATTGCCCACCACTCCAGGCAGTCACCAGAATTGAGTCTTTGCTGACTAAATTATAGAGAAAACTGACTGCACGGCCTTCACATTCGGCACCCCTAACTGCTACAGCTTCATCCTCCCCAGCACGGCATACTTTACGTAACGGACCCTGGAAAAGGTCATCAAATCAAAAGATTAATGATATTGAAATGATAACATTCCAAAGCCTTAATATTCTCAGTGAATTTTTCATGCTATGATACACAGATCAACCCTAAATTCCTCATTCCTAGAAAGAGAATAAACTGCACATCCAAACAAAATGAGAACCTCCAATCAAAACTACATGCATCCCTCAGATAGGCTAAAGTACCATTATTTCACGTACCTGCAGAGCAAGTGATGCGTCAAATAAAGCATGTGAATGAGCTTTTATGGTAGATGGATTTTCAGCATCTGCTGTTTGTTGAGCTAGCTCAGGAAACGTTGCTTCTAACCAAGAGATTGCCATATTAGAATTACAAACAGCTGCCGAATTGGCTGAGTTCAGTCCAAAAGTATGAGCATCGTTATATATCTCCAATATTGACTCCCATTGATAAACACTGTTTAGAAATAGATCGTCAGATATATAAAAAAAAGTATAACAAGAAAAAAAAGTAACAAATTAACATCAATATTTTTAAAGGCAATGAAATCGTTATATAATAGCAAGACGCAAGAGAAGGCATAGGTAAATTTCTAGGCCACAGACATTTTCATAACAGCTTAAGAACATCCAAATGGATAAACGATTAAACCGTACATCTCCATGACCTATGGCATGTGGTAAACATGGAAATAAACAAAATTTAAACCCATTTATTTCCAGGTAACTTGATCTATTTAGAACAAAGTCAAATATAGCAAGGGTTAACGGTAACATCAGCACTGACTTGGTTCAAATGAATTTATAAGCGCAGCAGTGTTTATGAAGATGGTTTAATTGCAAGAATTGGGAAAACAGGTAAAACGAGAAAGAATAAAACAAACAAAATTTTTGAATACCTTCCAAACGGAACAACTGGACAGAGGATGTAAACAGATCCATCGCTGAATAATACAAAAACCTAAATGACATAAAAGTTATATTCAGTGATTGCCGCAATATGTGAATAGTAATTAATTCCAAGATGTAACAAGCTCAGGCTCAGCAATAGGAAAAATATATAATAATACATGGGAAAGAAGTAAAGGATTTCTTATAAAAATCAAAAGAGAAAGGATGCTTGCAATTTCATTAAGCATAGCGAAGCAAGATCAATGAGACAACAAACCATTTAGCCACATTTGGACCGTAAAATAAGATTTGTAAGGTTTAGCATACACCAGCAGATCAAAATTATAGACAGATTCAATAACAGAGCAAAGGAATATCAACTGCAATCCATCAATCCCAAGTTCGTTGGGCAACTCAACTTAGAAGGAGATACAAAATAGTCATTTATTGGAATAATGAATCAAGTAATATGATTTCCCTAAATTCATCAAGTCACTGCAATTATACCATTACGATTGCATTACTCATAACAACAAAGCCATTCAACAGCAGTAAAAAATATTTCACATACTAGAAATAAATTAAACTTACACTAAACCTATCCCACAGGTGGTCACCCCCGAAAGAAAAGTCAACAGGACAGATCGATGCCGCATTCCTAGATCTACCAGGTTCAACAGGCTGCAGATAATACTCTTGTTCCGGTTGCACCAAATCAGAGGATAAATCAAAGAGTCTGCGGAGAAGTGAAAAAAAGAAGTTAACACTGCTTCAATCAAAGCCAATAACCATTTATATAATGCTTAAACAGGACCCCCATAAATTATGCATTTCAAGGCATAGAAGAATATAACCAATGAAGGAATGTGACCGGTGTAACAAACTATCAAAATAACTCACATGCCATATCTGCAAACTCAAACACACCCCACAAGAGAGAGACAGAGAGAGTATGTGAGAGAATTTCAAATGGAATTCAAATATCGTGGAGTTAGAAAGCAACGAGCCAAATATAAATAAACATAAATAGGCATTGATGGCAGCATCCTTATTTAAACAGGCATCAATTTTTAAAAATAAATTTTTCCTTACTGCTTTTTAAGTTTTATCGCAATTCTTCAACTCTCTTCCTAAACCAAGGTATAATCTCAGAGCAAGTAATATGATAAGTAGCCCCCAAATCATGATCAGTTAACAAAAAATGAACATCACGGTACGAATATTCTATACCTGAAAACTGAATCAGAAGAAAGGATTCCAACATGAGTGTCACTATAGGGATGCCATGACACTTGAAGGATGCGTATTGCAATGCTTTCACTAGAATAAACTTGTGAACCAATTGAAACAGTCCTGCAGAACAAAATGTCAACATTTAGGCGGAACATCTAAGGAAAAGAGAAAGACAGACACCACAAGCAGAGTACAAACTTTTGAATGAGCAAGAGGTTCTACAAACAACAATCTAGACACACATTACATATATTATTGTTTAGTGGTTCATAAACCATAGATTATTGCAATAACTGAATTTCAAACATATCAACTTAAAAATCATGTAGCTACAATCAACACGCTCCTCAATTAAAGTACTACATAAGAAACAAAATCCAGCATGCATAATATATAAAACTTGTCAGTTCACACTATTACCTGCAAATGATGGCGTTGTCTTTAGTAGAAGAATGTCCATAAAGATACATGACACAAAGATCATCTGAACCAGCTAGGAGTAAAGCTGATCCATTCCTGCTAATAGATATTTTATTAACCACAAAGTTCAGCTCCTTGTCTGCTCGCAACACCTATATATTATTGTAATTACATCTTTTGCATTCAAACACCAAAATCATATATATCATTCAACTATAACTAACATAACTATTCAAGCATATATAGGTAGAATATGATAACCATACACATTGCATAAAGGAAACCATTGCCCATCCTAAGCTTTTAAAAGCATGCCAAGGTTCTTAAACTCCTATGCTTTGCTCAAACTTACCAGAGTTTCAGGAGCAAAAGGCCAAATATATTCGTACAAAGGAAACAAAACTTGAAAAGAATAAAAAAGGCAATCCTTTTAAATACCAAAATGCCTGATTTTACTTTCATATATGTATTAAATCTATTGCACATGTTACATAATGGTAATTTATTCATCTATTAATCAATTATGTTTTTTCCTTTCTGTTGTTCACTATTTTCTTTTACAACAACCAAACAGAGATAAGATAACCATCCGAAAATTACAAAACCTAATAGTCTCGTCAAATTCATTCCCTTTCTAGTTTCACCTCAAAGATACAAAATTCATAGATTTCAAACAACATTCCAGTGGTAAAATTAGCAAGCGACTAAAAAACTAAAAGTCCCTAATTTTTCTTATATCATGTAAAGAATCGGAATTTACTTTAGAAGGAAACACAGCTACAACGGAGGTAGGGGCGGGCTCGCCCAAGCGAATGGAGATTCGATGGAGGCATTGCTTATTGGAGTCCCAATAATAGAGTCTTGAGGCTCCGTCCCAAGCTAGAAGATTCTTAACACCTCGAGAGGATGCGGAGGCGGTGGTGGAAGCATCCCCTCCGTCGGCGGAGGTAAAAACCGGGTGGTTTTGAAGCGGGACCCACTGGAGTTCTTCTTTAGGTGTTAAGGACCTTCGAGAATCGCCCTCGGTCGGTTCCGCCAAGTCGAAGTTGAACCTCATCTTTGTTTTTGCAGTGCTTTTTCTTTGTGAGAGTGGAACCGTCGATCTTTCTTTCTGCTACTATGCCGTTGAGAAGAAGGTGGAGGAAAATGTGAACTAAGCCGACTACGTTTTGTAGCTGCTGAAGAAATGCAGGAGACTGGAGACGACGTCGTTTGTTGTTCTATTACAAAGATTTTTGTTTTAGGTGATAGAAATGTGCGTTTTTAAGCAATGCTGTGGAACCATATAATATAAGAGGCCATTTTGATTTTGGGTCAAATAGGCCCAAATTCCTGTTATGGGTATGATTTTCTCAATCCATTTATCATAGTATCATTTGTAGTATTTTTATTATTTGAAATCTTATTCTTGATATGTTCGATTTATTAACTAATTAATCTACGATGAACAATGTACATATTCACTATAAGAGTAATCTTTCTAATCTAGTTTGTTTCCTTCAAAATATCAAGAACAAAATATTAGAAGTTCAAAAGATATAATACAACGTAGTATGAGATAGAAATGAATAAATAAATAGAAAGAATAACTTATACGTAAACTTCTTGAGACATTGAGGTTAACTTTCCTAGTTAAGACCCCTTTATAGGTCTAGACGACTCTAAAAGCTTTGAAATATAAATTGTCTACCTAATATTCTAATGACTCCTAAATAACTCTTAAATTATATTATCAAAATTTACTACTAAGAGTCTATTAAACGATTTTAATAGTAAAATGAATTATTGTTCTTTCTAGATGTTACAAATTTAAATATATGTGCGTAATTAATAACTAAAAAAATAATAAATAAATACTATCATATATTCACCTCAGACTATTATAAAAAATCCTATACTAATTTTACCAATATATATATTTACACACATTATTAAGATTCAATTCCTTAATTTATATCTTCAATTTTTGAAAACTTACAAAGTTCTTTTTTATTTTGTTAAGTACGGATCCATGGACCCACAAAATTATTGAAACTGTATAAGATTCAATCTGTAGACATGTGTTGGCCACAGACCGCTGTCGTACTAGTCCAACAAGGAACACATATCTTTCTCTAGAATATATAATATAATGATCGACCTACCCATTCACACTTGTATCAAAGAATGAACCATTTATATTTTTATGAAATTATATTAATAAATGAAATGATTATCATACTCTAATCAAACAAAGCTATTTTGGAATTTAGTATTTGAAAAGATTACATATATAATAAAATGAATTATTTTATAATGAACACTAGAAATCTAAGATGCCCAATAAATAGGACAAGTATATCCCAATTTTGATATGTTCATGCGAAGTAAAGGGTATCTCCCTACCTAGTTTTTATTTAGAAACAAACACATATTTTTTATTTTAGGAGAATTAACTTATAAAATTTTTAAAATTAACGAATTTACAAAATTTTAAAAGGAATAAAAATAATGTTTAAAAATATATATATATAATTTTTTTAAATATATAATAATTTTAAAATTTAAAAAATCGATTATCATCTTAGGTCCCTCAGTCAACCCCTTTGTATCACAATTTTTGTTTTTGAGGTATTAAGAAAAGTGTTGAATATCTAGAATTCGCCGTACATATGGTACAAAGCAAAACTTTTGCTCATCACTTTTCCAATAAAAGTTTCTAGAATGAAATGGACAGCCAGTGGAAGAAATAGTTTCCTTTCAAGCTTTCTATAATAAAATATTGTATATACGATTAACTATACATGAATTCGTCTTGTAATTAAATTTATGTGTAATTAAATATAATTATAAAATTATAACGTGTTCTAATAATTATCATAATCTATGAGTTTTGTTAAATAAAATATACTTTAATTATACTATTCGATTTTATAGTTTTTATTATTTTAAAAGTTAAACGTATATAATAAATATGTATAATTTACATGATCAGACATGATATGAAGAATTAATTACACTATTAATCAAATCTATTTTAATTGTAATTCAATATATTTATATTTTTTGTCTTCATCCAGTTTGATTTTTGAGCGTATTCACTCATTATAATAATATTTATATATTTTATTATAAAATTTATTTAAAATTCAACATGTACAAGTCAACTTACTAATTCAAATGAATAATTTAACTTTGAAATATTTACAACATATACATTCAAATATATTTCCATTAAATTATTAATTAGTTCAATAAACTATTCCATTCTAAACTTAATTATAATAAAATATTAGAAAATAATTTAAAATATCATAAACTTATATCATTTTGTTAGACAAAAAACGATCGCAAGACTTTATGTTAAAGACGAACTTATAAAAATTTAAAGAATGAACTTTTAAAATTTTAAAAACAAAACTAAATTATAAGTAGATAATACAAAAATAATAAAATTATATAAAAAATTGAAATTTTTAGAGAGATGCTCCCGCCACTAAAGATGGCAAAGGGTCGGGTTGAGTCGGATTTTCGGTTAACCCTGCCCAAAAATATATATACCCGCCACCCAAACTCAACTCGACCCAAAGAGTATATTTCCTCTATCCAAATCTGATTGAATTAGAATTTTTAGTGTATAAATATGATTTTACCCTATATAAAATAAGGACCTAATTAAAAAATATCAAAAAAGAGGGTATTATAACAATTATCTATTAATCTATATGAAAAATTATATTATTGCTCTCGAATCAGGTTGAAATTTTTTACTCTCCATCTAAACCCATCTCACCGACCTGAACTTATTTTATAGAAAAAACAATCTTATTAAATCAAGTCAGGTTGAATTTATCAGTTCGGGTTAAATCATCCCTACCCGCCACCAGTTCATCCATCCTGTTTATAAGGATTTATATAGGTATTAATCATAATAAAATAAGAGGACTAAAGTCCAAATACATGAAAAGTACATAGATTCAGAGCATTTTTTTTACCCTAAGAATACAGTGATATTTATATAGGTATTTCCGTTATGAAAGGCTCTTCCAATTCCCATTGACCGGCTACTTCCGCGTGTATATTTCCCTGTATTTGTCGTCGCTTTAGACAAGTCTAGCCAACACATAGAACCTTCATCGCCATTTCTTTGAAAAACAAATCTTCATCTTCCTTCTTCTTTGTTCATAAAAGCTCTGGTTTTCGAAAAACCATAGAAGAAAAAGATGGGATTTTCAAAGGAAGAGAAATCAAGAAGAATTCTGAGAGGTTTTAGAACAGTGTGCTTCTTGATAACTATGGCGGTTTCGTTCCTTGTCTTCTCTGCCCCTGTTTTCTTTGTTATCATCGACACCCTCTTGCCTTCTGCTTTGCTTTCCGCTTCGCTTTCTCCATCGTCTTCTTCGTTGTTCGAAACCCTTTCTTCGAGTTTCGAAAGCTACGATTTCAGATATTCTCTCGTCGATATCCCGCTCGTTTCCGCTATCAGATCAGCTGTTATAATCTGTAAGTTCGCGAGTAAGCGGAACATGATGTTAAGACCGGGCATGATGTTAAGAAGTTACGTATTTTCTGATTGGATTTTACTTTTTATAGGTGTTTATAGCTTTTGTGATGGGCCAAGGCTTTCGAGGGGACCTTACTTGGGAATCACGACGATATGCTCCGTGTTGTCGTTGATATTCGTCTCGATGAAAGCATCGTACGTGTTTGGTTAAGTGCTGCTAGAGAAGAAGGGTCGAGTGTTACGGCCATGAGAGTGCTCTTTTCGTTTGTTCATTTACCTTTGCAATTGCTCATGTGATTGTGGCGTATAGAATGAGTTGCAGAGAAAGAAGAAAACTCCTCGTTTACAAAATTGACATTGAAGCAGTAAGTTCTTCCTCTCTGATTTTCATTAAATCAATATAATAATTAGATTGAAACATCGTAATCGATGTTTCGATCTTTTATTTTATAAAACTACTCGGACGATATTTTAAATAAAATTAGGAGAGAAAATTAATGTTTAATTATACAATTAATTATAATTTACAGGAAAGTTTGCATAGGAAAATATTCCTTCCTAATATGCTTATAGGGGAAGGAAAAGGAAACTTCAAAATGGTCCACCTATTCATACCAAAATTGTAGAAAGATTTCTACATACGGTTAATGCCAAAACCACTTGTGGTTCTAGATGCACCAATTGGCAAATTTTGAAGTTATGGGTCATATTAAAAAAATATTAAATAATAATGCAAGAGGATTTAAGTGATTAAAGAATGTATTGTTCTCTCTAAAGGTCTTAGGTTCGAACAGCAGCCTCTGTAAAATGTATGTGCATTGTTAATGGTTAAAAAATATTCTGAACAAATATTACATTATAATTATAACCACCCCATACTATTCAAAAAAAAATTCGATTAATTCAAATTCTAAATAGACTTAAAGTTGATTCGTATAAAGGAAAGTTAGAATCAAATGTCTAGCTCTGTCAACGTTATCCTTGATAAAAATGATTGTCAAAATAGATGATTTGATTGATCTCTGAAATAAAATTAAAGTTACTATAATTTTAATGTTGTGAATAAAAAATTAAATTTAAAGAATTATCCTTATAATAATAGATCTATATAATATTTGATTCGAATTGATAGATTAATAGCTTAAATACAGATAATTATAATAAATAACTTAAAAATTGACATAATCTCCATGGTCCATGGTTTTTGTTTCATTTTACATTTGAGTTTTTTTCCAAATTCCAAGTGGAACGAAATAAATGGAATCTGAGCTGCTGGCCAAGGCAGCCGCCTTTGGCATGTTATAGGCTATTTTTGCCAATTTGACACGCCACTTTCACCTGTCTGCCCACATTTATTTTGTATATGATCGGTCACATCTTTAGATATTATATTTATAGGTCTAATTATGCATCTAGTCACTGTACTCTTCATATTTTTGAAATCATGTCCCCTTATTTTTGATTCAATAACGCAACTAGATTTTATTTTTTGAATTAAAAAAATAGAGAGATTAAATTTCTGATAATGAAAAGTATAATACTAAATTCGAATATACCCAAATATTTTTTTTCTGATTTTAATGGTATTTGTGTACAGATTTCCGCTTGCAAAAATGGGTTTCCAAGGTATCAAAAGATTCACCAAGAAGAAAGAGTGAAATAAAACTACTTTCAACACGAAGTGGAAATTTAACCTTTTCCCTCCCTTTTTGGCTCATCACTTGATTCTTCTATACAAGGTTTAAGGTAATTATAGCCTTCCGCATTTACTATCTTTATCATTCTCCGAGCTACTCGATATTCGACTCAAAAAGCTCGTGAGCAGCTCGAAAAAATATTATATTATAATTTTAGATTTTTTAAAATTACATTATTAAAAATATATTAAAAATACAATATTGATAATTATAGAATTTTAAAAATATATTAAAAATTCTATAAAATTTTAAAAATATAATAAATTAAAAATATGATTCAATTTAAATATTAATAATTTTTAAAAAATATATCAAAATAGAGTGTAACCGATTTTATAAAGAATTAAGAAAGAAAAAAACTCATTTAGACTTAAATTAATGTCTTAATTAACAAAATTAATGACATCAAATCATATTTGAGAGAAAATGATCATCCCTAGTCCATACTACTAACATGTACCATATAAAGTAAAACAAGCCAGATCAATTATAGAAAAAAATTATTAAAATTTAAAAAAAAATTAACAAAACCCTTGTTAAAAATATATTTCTAATGATAATATTTTTAATAACTAATTATTTAAATTGTTGTTATATTTTGAGGTTTCGAGTTCTAATATCATAAATATCGAGGGTTTAAACATTTAATATCAAAATATTATATTGTACTTACCCCATAAATCGGTACCAAGTCGATTAATTAATGTCTTTGCAATGAGTCATAAACCCTAAACCCTAAACCCTAAACCCTAAACTATAAACTATAAACCATAAACCATAAACCTTAAAACACCTAAACCTTAAACCCCCTAAATCCTAAACCCTTAATCCAATTATATGATAGGGGTTAAGTTATGCACATGAAAGTAACATACAAATTATGCAAAATGATATTATGTGACTCATAAATATATCATTCGCATACTTATACATAAACATATCAACATGCAAAATAAATATACACAACTTACTGATTGATACATGATTTTTATCATATCTTAATGATGACTATCGACACCGTCATTGCTTTCAAGCACTGACTCACCAACATAAAGACAAGAACTCATGAAGAAAAAGATCAAACTCTTTTAACTTGAGGCTATCTAAAGAAGAAGCTTGGATCCAGATTTTTTTTTTTTGTTCTTTGTTCATTTAGCAACAAAGAAGATTGATCCTTGATTTTTTTTTTCTGAGGCATAACCTGAAAAAGGAAGAAGAAAAACTTATTTTCATCTACAGTCTGGCGTGTTTGTGTTTATTTTCTTATGGAATCTGAACAAAAGGAAAACATATGAAGTTCATAACAACGTTTTCCTCTCTTTTTTTCATGTAAATTGTGAATCAAATCCCCTTTTCCTATAATTATATGAGTAACTCAACAGTCAAAGCATTACCGGAAACAAGTGTATTGAAAGATTGTCTAATCGTTTAATTAAACAATCACTAACATAACCAATCTACATCCAAAATTATTTGTTCGATGTTCATCAGTACAACAGAGAAACGAGTTCAGAAAAATTATCGACTAAATAATGGTTTCGCGAACTCATATGTTCTCCTTTGAGCTAGAGACCTCAAGATTTGGTTTCTTCTCTTCACCAACGGCTGTGGAATTCTCCACGGATAGCTCTGTTCTTTCCAGACTACTAAATAGTTGCTATGTGATTATTTCATTCTCGTTATGTGATTAATCTGTGTTTGAAATAAATACTTCACCAACAACAAGCAATCCGACAGTGCTATGAACTTCTGCTAGCAACTTGAACACTTCTGGTAGAACTAGCAACCCTACTTATTCAGATAAAGTTCCACAAAGACAATGAGTGTACCATGAATGGCAATCAAAAAGGTATAATACTGAAGTTACTCAAACTCAATAATCATTATTATTGATCTACAGATTAAATTTCAGTAATGATTCCAAGGAAACCATGGAATTGTCCGTCCAGCTCAGTTGGTAAAGCACAATGCTCTTAATCTTGTACTTGTGGGATCATGTCCAACGGTGATCAATTAATAATTCTGACTGTCGGATGTCTCCCACGGAAGTTGCTCTCAACCTGACATTGGGGGCAACCTACTATCCTACCTCCCCTTATCCCATTATATATATGGGAATAGGGTCAGCTATTATTATTCCAAGGAAACCAAGCTTGTAGAGCTATCTTCAGTTATGATTCAAAGAAATGCCAAATAACACTCAAATTTATCATTTCCTAGCTCAATCATCTCTCAAATTTGAATCTCAATCAATACACCATAAAAAACCATCTGAATGTTCTAATTGCTCACCTAGTTAAACAGCAGTAAAGAATTTCCTCACTTTTCATTTCCCCCCTAAAAGTTCCCCAGTGAAAACACCGAAGCTTCCATTTTTTAGAACAACCCAATAACAAAGGAACCATTTTTGAACAGAGGAAGAAAAGGATTCAAATTCTTATTCATTTTACATATTGAGCAAAAACCCAGGTGAAGAAATCGACAAACTTGCTGAAAACTCTTGAAAAGTTTTCCCAATAGTCTTGCCAACTTCAGGCAGCTTTTTAGGTCCAAACACAAGAGCAGCCACTCCACCAATAACGACAAGTTCTGGCAACCCAAGACCAAACAAAGCATTGCAAGTAAAGCCCTTTCTAGCAGGCTCGACTGTTGTCCTCCGTCCTGGTCGACCGACAACAAAGGAAACAGGTTTTTTCTGGGATTTTGATCTGCTCAACAAAAAAATGGTGTTACTGCTGCTAATAAAATTGGATTGGGGAGAAGAGAGAAAAAGTGAAGCTGCTGCTGCTGGGGTCTTGAAAGTGAAAGAGTCATAGAAAAACTCTGCATGGTATTCCCAGTCAAGATCTTTGAATTCGAAGAACCTTGATATGTTTTCGAGAATTTAAGAGTTTTATACGAGTGTGAGTTATATCCCAAATCGGTGGTTATAGGAGAATAAGGGGTAAAATCAGTGTATAAAAGGGGATGAGTTTCAGAAAAATGAAAATTAACCCATCCTCACTGTCAAGGTGGAGAATCAAGTTTGAATTGAGCTTGAATTAAGTTGGGTCTCAAATTTTAATTGAACTATTGAAATTTTTTTTGTATTCTAATTTTTTTGAGTTCGAGTTAAGTTTTAATAATATGTTTTGAGTTTGAGTTGAATTTGATAATTTTTAGTTGGTGAGTTTTCGAGTTGAGTTTATGTTTATAGTTTTTGAGTTCGAGTTAAGTTTAGTAATATTCGAGTTCAATTCGGTTAATTTTTACCCCTAAACCTATTAATAAAATTGGAGTTGCAACAAGTTTTTCTAGGGGATAAGATCATCTTCGGAATGATTTTTCACTAAAATTTTTTTGACCGATCATAAATCTTTGACAAGGCCTTTAATAAATTTAAAAGATTTATCAAGACTAAATTGATCAACTGATCACATTTACACATCCTGCTGGTCTACGAAAAACAATGATGGCTGTAGGTCTGACAGAAACATGCATAAGAGGAAAACATATAAATCTCAATTACAGACAAGAAGGGGGACTTCCTGAATTTCTTCTAAATTATTCTCTCTTACGACTCTCCCCCGCATCTTTGACGTCAATATCATCGGCTAACAACTGGTTTTTCACTGACTATGGTTTTTCTTCCAAACCAAAATAGATAAACTATCTATAACCGTTACAACCATCTTGTTACTATCAACAATATTCATATTTGAAAGCGTATTAGCAATGCAAAAAAGAAAAAAAATGAATCATAACAAAAGTGAAATATATTTGTGTGTATAAAATCATCCCACAACACAAGCTTTGTGGAAGCTTGGTGAAAGGAGGTAAGGAGCCTAGGAGCTGCTGGTGAAAGTTCCCAATTACATCATTATTCAATTTGCAGACTTACATAACCATTGATTGACTCTTCAACTCTTAAATGAAAACAGCTCTTTTTGTAGTGCAAGACATGGGATAGTCATTCTTCAACTTGCACCACTGTTGATGGTCTGAGCGAGGATGTGGTGGTATTAAGCGATTTATTCTTTTTAGATTGGACGGGAAGTTTTAACCTTACACCCACTATTTATCATCTTTTTCTATTCTCTTCTCTCTCTCTCTCTCTCTCTTTTTTAAATTATTGTCGATTACGAATTTCTGTCTAATAAAAACAAACCGTTTAAGACCACCATCTTTCTGCTAAAATCATAAACAACAACCAAACCATTTTTCCAAGTTGCAAACTTTCTCAATGTCAAGTGCTATCAACATAGTGCAATAGTTGGGTTTCCATTCTATTTTCTAATCTAAGATACACTAAGATCCCACTATCTTTAACATCTATTTCAAGTCTTCAAGAGCACAATTACGAGCTAGCCAATCAGTTTATCATACTCTTTGCCACTTTAATTTTGTATAAGAAAGTATTCAATATATATGGATCAATTATGGTCAAAATTCATGATGAAGGCTTGAAAAATAAAGTATAATGATTATTCATAGAATTAGAGATAAAAACGAGCTAAGTCGAGCTTGAGGATTATTCAGATTGACTCGATTCAAAAACTCAAGAACTTAAAATTGTCAAGTTCGACTCGAACTCGAAATAAAAAATTGAAGTTCGAGTCAACTCGAAAGTTCACGAGCTTAAATTTTTTAAGCTTGACTCAAAATAAAAAAATTGAAGCTCAACTCTAACTCTAACTCTAACTCGTTTCTCAAACTTAGTTTGATTGAAACTCAAACTCGAGCTCGAACTTAAACCTTAAGTACATGAAAACCTTATATCACATTTTTTTAGGAAAGAACAACATATAAAAGTTAATATTATTAATAATTTAATTTAATAAATCTAAAATTTTAATATATTATTTTTCGAGTTGTTCAAAAGCTTTTCGAGTCGGGCATCAAGTAGCTTGCTTCGACTCTTTAAGAACCTGACTCGACTCCATTCAATTTGAGAGTTGACCGAACTTTGCCTGAATAAATATCAAGTAACTTGTGAGCTGTCTCGTCTCATTTACAGTTTTACATAGAATTGTGTTTTCTTCGTCTGAATCTTTGTTACATAATTTTTAATTAAACAACTAATTATTTATGGTGTAAATTTCACTCAATATTTTTATTTTTTATTAGTTTAATATTTAATTGATGTTATGCATATTTAAATAATCATTTAATATTTAATTTATTTTATGAATATTGTGTTTATGATACCTCTAATATTATTATTTAAATATATAGTCTAACTATCTAGTTCACAATGTAAATTTGATTGAGTCAATGTAAACATAATTCGAGTTTGAGCTTTATTTTTTTTATACGAGAGTTTAATTTACAAGCTTGTGATAATGAAGTTACCATGAGTTACTCAAATTCAATGGAAATTTTTTAATCTCTATTTTTTTATAAATAATAAATTTAAATATTATATATGCGATTTTCATATTAAATAAATAAAATTCTGATAATGAAATATTATTTTAATAATAAAACATATTTAAAATTGCCAGTGGTGGGGGACTCATAAAGTCATTATTGTGATCCTGGAGGGAATTTCCTCTATAGAATCCATCGTTTACTTGGGATGTCTCCCTCTATCATTTTCTTGTACAATAAATTAATGTAGAAAGTGGTGGGAAAGTACGGCAAGCATGACTCAGTTACGGGAAAAAAACTTCTCGAAGTCACGTTATAATTAAAGTTGGAAATTTTAACCAACTGACGGCAGCTAGAAATGGATAATATCAGAGTTAAAAAAAACTACATAAATTGCACGCTGGTTCTTGTTGATGAACAAAGCATTCTCAAATACTAACCAATCTCAACAACTAGGACTTCAGCTCAAGTTGACAGAGCTATCAAAAACACATATGGTACCATCCACCTCTCTTGTTTACATTAAAGTTATCACCCTCCTCTCATGCTTCAACTTGCTTGGTTTAGCAACAGCAAGTCGTGTGTTTAGAGCAAATGAGACTGATCAACAAGCTTTACTCCAGTTCAAAGCCAAGATAACAAGCGATCAGCTCAGAATTATGGAGTCCTGGAATACTTCCTTCACTTCTGTCAGTGACGTGGTGTTACATGCGGCCGCAAGCATCGGAGAGTTATCAAGTTGGAACTGCAATTCCTCGAACTCTTTACAAAGTACTTGATTTTTTGTATTCTTCATGGCATATTCAGGTGAAGGAAAGCTATAGGAAATTGCTCGCCAAAACTTATTACAATGTTCATTTCCTTTTTGGTAGATGGCAATGTGGGACACAACATTCTTAAATAAAGTAAACTGATGAGTGGATTGATTGTCTGTTTCTTAGAAGGGGATGAGTGTTTCTGGTTTATTCATTGCTCGAAAAGTGGCATTCCTTCAAGGGTATGACTTCGGAAATCAAAAGTTACATTTTTCCAAAAAAATTTCCACAGAGGGTTGCTTTGTTTAGGCGTTCATATTTTTCCAAAGCCTTAATGCGTAGACATGACTTTGATGCATCTGTCATCAAAGCTTTCAAATACATTTTGTCAAAGTAAAATCTGATGGTTTAGAAATCTGCTTGTTTTGTTATAATGCATGACCCTAAAAAAGGGCGTTGATTTTCAAAGTTGGAAAACTTGAACCAATAATTGTGACCCTGCTGAGATTATCCTCCATATAACCCAGCGTTTACTTGAAAGGTCTGCTTATATCATTTTCTTAGACAATAAATTAATGTTTTCTGAAATATCAACCATCAAAAACCAACCTCCAAGTAGACTCATTTAACTAAAGCTGGCCCATGGAAATAGTAGCCACATGACTTTCAGAGTCAGAAAACTTGAACCAATTGAAGAGACTGAATTAGATAATATCAGAGTTCAAAAACTGCAGAATTGCTCGCTGGATCTTGTTGATGAACAAACTTGCTTATTTCAAGAATGTCTTCTTATGCTGAAGTTAAAAACTTGCATTGTTCTTAACAAAATAGTGTATTATTACATGAAGTAAGCAACTTGCATTGTTCAAATGATTTGACCCAAAAAAATGTATTTTGGTTACATATGTTGTAGGAACCTAAGGTGCCAGAATATCAATTGCTCTAGAGGTTTGCTTTGGATTGGTGTTTAGAGGGATTCTCAATTTTCTATATCACCATGTTCTTCTACCTACACAGTGTATGCTGTACTGAGTTAAGATATATATGATGTTCCAACCATTACTATAGCTGAATTTCTACCATATTCCTCTAAGAATCATATGTTTTAGGTTCCCTTTTCTTTCTAGTTCCTTTAATATTTATGTATGGATTGTTGTATTGGGAAAAAAATTAAACCATATTTTCTAAAGACAAATCTCTGCAGACAATCAGTTTCTGAAAGCGTATACAAAATTATATTGAAACATATCATTTCTTGATAATAAGTTGATGCAATGTTGATACTTTAACATGGAATTTGCAAAGTTGTATAAATACAATTATATATAGGGTTGATCAATTAGACCGACCCAAACCAGACCACATACGCGTCTAATGTAAGCATAAGGTGAAGCATATATTAAAAGGGTATGTAAAATACAACTTGTATTCAATGTTTTGACACATAAACATTCAGGAACCTTTCTGCCGTCAAGAATCTAATTTCCTCAAAGCTCTAAGATCACCATTGAGGGTTCTTAACATAGATTATAAATCATATAAAATTTTAGAGGAACGAAAATATATTTTTAATAAATATATATATATATATATAAATTTAAATTTTTTAGAGAAATGATGATCTCCACTTGTCCCTCGTTCCATCCCTAATTCTGATTCCCGTTTCATATAACCATCACCATCAAGCCATGAACATGTTTTGCCTACTAATCATTGGTAAGGGTTGTCATTAAAAATGACGACAAAGAGTTGAAAAGGGACAAGGGTCGATGTGTGAACTAGGTCTAGGGTTTTAGTTTAACTTCATAAATCCAAAATTTAGCAAATTTCCCCTGAAATTCTAGGTCATATTTCGGGTCGTGATAGTATAAATAAAACTCATTTTGACTATAAA